TTAATATACAAACATGTATTCAACAATTACACATAGGGATTGAAAGCTGTTTTATGACGACGAATTATTCGGGCTTGCATAGACTTACATGTAAATTGTACTACGTTTTAACAACATAGTACATGTACATGTACAAATTATTCAATGTTAAATGTTCAAGTGAATACGCTTGAATTAAACACTAAATTCTGGGTTCAATTTAGTCTGAATATGTTGAATAGCATATCCTGAGAAATGAAGAGCATTGCTGATCAGATTTATGTTACGAAAATTTAACAAATGTAGAAAATTTGAAAAATGAGATTTACTGTCTCGCTAGTGTGTACGCAATGTCCATCAGTTTCTTTACACAATATCAATGACAGAAATTTGTAGCCAGAACATGGGCTTCTGAAATTAGACACTTGTCTGCTTTAAGTGCCGATCATGTACATGTAGTTCCGACTATGATGACTATGAATTGTATAAAAAGCTCTGCTATGTTCCGTGTACCATTTATTTTAGTTTCAGTTTCATTCATTAGTTTGCACGAAACAATGCTGGCAGATTCTAATCCATATGTCAGACACTTGTGGACGCCAGACTGAAGGAGGTGACGGTAATACATTGTATACAACCACATTTCAATGTGAGCGTATAAAAACTGGTCAAAAGTCACTGTGTAACAGTGCAACTACATGTACATGAACTTAGAATCAAAAATTCACAATCCTGGCTTAATAGACTCCAAATATTGTACTAATCTAAGAGCATGTAGATGTACATGTACCTCTTCCTTATGAATGAAAGGGATCAGTCTCCTTATTACGATACATGTAGTCACATGTGTGTACATGTATGTAACTTTCCTCACTTACTAATTCAAACCTCATTTTCTACACTTTGGCAAGAATCTTGACAAGTACTTATTATACATGTACAATATAACATGTACTTACACATTACAGACTTAACAAATTGATTTACAAACGGAAATAATATCAAATGAGGTTTAACAACCTACTTTTCTGCTTAAACCAAGCTAATGATGATGGACATACAACATGCAGTGTGTTATGAGAGAAAATTTGGCCTGGAAAGTGACGTTTCTGACTACTCTTTGTTTAATTCCAACTCACAAGATTTTTTTTTTTTTATAAGTGCATGCTAATATATAACTACAAGTATTTTTCTGCACCCCATATTCCCTAAATGGGTTAGATCTTAGAATCTCTCCACTCTCATTAGTTTAAATATGTACATGTATTGTGAATTTGTGACTAAGTATATGTACTAGGAAATGATATAACTTGCAAGGCCCAGAAGATCTGAATTTAAAGTACATGTAGCAATATTGTTGTCAATCCATAACTCAAATCAAGTCCAGTCTTTGCATACAATGAAGACATATACATGTACAATGGGTACTGGACAATTCGTTCCCACCATATGTCCCCTAGGACTATACTGGATAATTCATCCCCAGGGACAATTTACCCCCTAGGTCTATTCGTACCTGGGTTGTTAAAAACAAATATGAAGGCCAAATAGAGGAAGAAATTTGTAGTTCCCCTCCTCCTTTGGTGGAGGAAGGGGGGGGGGGCATGCTTTCTATTGAACCCCTATCCTTTCAATTTTCAATCATAGATCAATTAAATCCATAGTGAGAAACCATTCATATATTATATATGATCCTTTTTAAAGAACTGTAAGGTGTTTGGCAAAAACTATCCACTAGTGGTTTGAACCCCTATCCTTTCAATTTTCAATCATAGATCAATTAAATCCATAGTGAGAAACCATTCAAATATATGATCCTTTTTAAAGAACTGTAAGGTGTTTGGCAAAAACTATCCACTGGTGGTTTGAGTGACAAAAGTGTGATGCAGATGCTATTTTTATGAATTATCACTTTATTAACCATTAAGTTAAGGTCCAGATTTAATACTAAATGTAAAACGATGTAACATTAAAATAACAACTGAGATTTAGGATAAAAAAATATAAAGATTAATTCAGATTTTGATAATTTACGAAAAACTGCCACGCCTTCAAATAAAAGTTTGAAAACCCCACTTCTTAAATTACATGTAGTTTGCTATCAAAATAGTGTCTGTTTACATTTAACAATCAAGGCGTAAAAACTAAAAAAGGGCATATCTTTAAAAAGTGTTTTATAGAATAATGGAAAGTAGCAAAGTCTCTAACTCAATATCATCCAAAATCTTCGACATTGAAAACACGATTTATTTGTCAAATTAAATCAACATTCATGTTGTGATCTTACCGGAAAAAGATGGGATTCTGATATCCAATATTTAAGACAAAATAAACATTTTACCATTGGTACACGAATCGTGTACCATAATGCGCTTCAGCCCCAGTTGTATCAAGAGACTCGAGGGACGAGGCTAGACACATTGCAGCAAATCAAACGGCGTATGTAGACTGGAATAACCAGACGCTAGAAATTTGCACTCGCTTGAGACTGCTGGCTTATTTCGCCGAACATAACTGATTTGAAATTGGAGTAAAAACGGAAACCATTTAAAGTAAATCAGTTTATATACATTCATATTACAGTATTATATGCGTTGCGACCCACTTTTGTCAATTTCTAGGTCCCAAATGTTAGCGATTTAGCTCCTTTAAATCTGCCTATTGCAGGTCTTTTGTCTGCCTTCAAATGTTCTATAATTTACATGTATTCACATGACAATCCCATAATCAATCCTTTGGGCCATCATGGCCAATAATGTTAAATGGATTATCACACCAAAATTTAATAATTATTGTAAGATAGGTTGCAAAGCAACATAACATAGGTCCACAGCAGTCGAAAAGTGTTGTTGGGTGAATTTACGAGACACTGATATCAATTTCATATAGATTGAATAATAACTCTTGTCGATAGACAACACGGTTCAACAAAGTGAAACAAGGGCCATAATTCTAGAAGTTATGAACAGAAATTGCTCAAATCCAATAGGCATCTTCGTTTTACTAATTTAGATAATGCATGTAAATTTAATTCTTTGCGACTTGACTCAATAACATATCTTATGATCTAAAGACAAGCCTGGAAATAAGGCACCTGTCACAGACATTGTCAAGAACAAATTCACACCCCGTTATTCACAATCCCTCTGTTGTCTGTCATTTTGTATGGCACTGATTTATCTTTTCATTCTGTTATTTGTTGATTGTGTAATATCGGTACATGTCCAGAACAAATTTCAAAATGTCAGGTGCTAGTACAATTGAGCCTGTCATTTAGTCAGGTACTAAAATTTTTATTTCCAGGCCAGTTCAAAGTGGATGCGTTAGACCATCTACCACCCCCTCGACCCGCCACCACCCTGACCGATGTAGTGTACATGTACATGTATGTAGGCTTATTTCCCATTAAACAAGCTTATATATATAATCTGAGACTAAAACCACAGAAGAAGAGTTTAAACATCTATCAAGTTAGTACCAGTCTACACAGAGCGAAATTGTTGAATATGCTGTTCTTATAAACATTAGGCCAAAAATCAACAGAAATTAAACTGTATCAATACTATAACCACCTCTGTGAGAAATGATGACATCATACATGTATTTATCTTACACTATTTAGTAAATTCTTTATTAGTATTAAACAACATGTACTAGTACTATAAAAGATCAAGGTCAAAACATTAGACCAAACTACATGTAATTTAATTCTAATAATTAGCCATTTGTTGAGAAAACAATATTCTGTTTACCATTTTAAAAGGTAAGAAGTTTTTGACAAGAATCTAGGCAAGTACATTTGTTATTAAATCCTTTTTTCTCTTCACATATCTGTAAACTGTAAACAATTGACATACATGTGTTCAATATTTAAAATAAAGAAGATTTGAATTTTTAAAAATATCTATCAGTCAGATACATTGATACCCCTTTCATTTAGGACATCTGTTATTTTATGTGAACCCCAGGAAATATTTGACATTGATAAAATTAACCTGAAAGTTTCATTTGGAGCAATCACAGAATTTGTCCACTAAACTCTGAGTCGGGAACTATAATATGACCTAGTGTATGACATTTTGAACATTACATCAGACATGTATTAAATATATCATAAAAACACTGATAAAAGACGAATCTGTGTCAGACATACAGGTACATGTAAGTACCACAAGACAGCAGAGGGATTGTGACTAACAATGTCTATGACAGGTGCCTTATTTGCAGGCTTGATGTCTCCAACTCAACCCATCTATCTTTTAAAATTTTATTACAGTTTAAAATAAATACATGAGAAATGGCATCAGGTGTACTAAGGCATGCCCTGCCTCATGCAAGATATACATTACTAATAAGCTACCATAGTAGATATTTCATTTCATAAGTTGTACAATATGGTTAAATGTTTGTGTTCATTTTGATAATGCGATTAACCAAATTTTAGAATTAAATCTTTTGTATGCCATGTGTAGACTATTATCTCATTTGATTTTACCAACTAAATCAAGTGGAAATCCATATTTTTACAAATCATGAAAATTGTTTTACCAAACTGATACATCTTTTCTGGGAAATACATGTGTACTGACATAAAAAATGTGAGGACATACATTTACATGTAGCAATATGTTGATTACCTATTAATAATATTGGTAAATGGCAGGCTAATAAATTGTCTAGTAATACAATCAAGATGAAAATCTGAATATTAATATGGCTGTATTTTATTAGGATAAATCCGAGATAATGGAAAGGTGTTCAAATAAATTACAAGGTATTTCATTTACAAAGCTTAACATCACATCCTGGATAACAAAATCCACCTGTAACTCATTATTTCATAATGTAGTCAGCTTGGGAAGTGCTGTCCCGAAACTGACCTACAGACCACATCGACGTAACCGCAGTGTGCAATATTGTTAAGCGTTATGCTATAACGCCCGGGGCTTTACACTCATTACACAAAGTTACGTTATCCAAACATTGTGAACTATGTTGCCAATTACGTCACGTGATTAATGTTTACAAACAAAGAAAGAAACGGCGGGCGAAAAACTATAAGTTTACGGAAGCCGTCAACATTATCCGATTGACTATACAAGTTCATAATAGGGGATTAACGTGATATGGTGTTGAGTTATGGTTAGAACCCGCCAGCGTCAACCCGCTTGAAGTTAATCAAAAGTAAGGCGTTCATTACTATTCATTTTCTGTGGGCGTTTTTTTTTCAACCCTAACTCGGCGATATTTGAAATCCAATAAGCTGTCACATTATCAGCATTTAGTTCATTAGTAGCTAATCGTATTTCTACTATTACATCATCCCCCGTCTCAAGAATATAATCGTTATTAATATTGACTATTGCGTAGATTAAATAATCATCTACATCTGCTATTATTTGATTTGACCCGAAATACCCCCATGTAGAATGTGCGTGACCTCATTCAGTAACCCATTTACCGTTATAACCGCCGTGCGCCAGATAAAAGGAATAAGACCCCTGTCAGAAAAAAGGAATACCTACCTTCCACCCTGCGGAGCTCGTACTATCTCCCTTATCCTTAAAATATGGCACATTTTGAACCATCCAATCGTAAACTTGTGACAATGTCAGTCGCTTTTCGGGTGTACTTTGGATTGCCTTAGTGATAAGATCGGCATAAGATAAATTTCCCCAAGCATTTCTTCTAGACCCACTTTTTTTGGTATTTAAACCAAGAGGATCTTTCGTTTCTTTCACTGATAAATCCCCAGATTCCTCTGAAACAGGGCTGTTTTGTGCGTCTAATATTTCACGATTTGGCCTGAGAGGCCATGTGTTAGAACGTGCCCTAATTTGTGGCTCAAAATTTGGATCTATGTTATCGGCTACGTCCATCTTGAGATTTGCAAACGGTTCACGCACGTATAAGAAAAAATGAAGACTGGTCTCGATAAGACAGTATGAACACGTTAACTAGATATATGTTTCACAAGTATATAATCCACTTTAATCATTTTATGAACTGTCAACAGACACTGACAATCCGTATAGAGAAAACATCAATACTCCAATAGTGAATCGAGCAAGCTAACCACACGGCCATTGCTTGCAAGGCTGCACTAACATTATGGGGAGCACCTGATGACGTATTTGTTGTCACGGGTGATTTGCATATACATGTGCCCGTTCTCGTGCGCAAATGCGCGAAATACCAGTGCGCAACATACGGTAAACTTCCGTAATAACAAAACCACGTGATTTTGTAGACTTGAACATCAGTCTACTAGAGCATCATATTATATTTGTGCAAGGCTGGTATGTTCCTACCTACTCCATACACTACAATTCGCAAAATTGACGCATTTAACAGCTGATTCCTAGCGAATTTTCGCGAGGCCATTGTAATCACTCAGAGGGATGAAATGGGGCTGAATTCATAAGCCTGGAATATTAACTTTTTATTTGATGCAGATAAAATTATAAAACTATATTAAAAATTATTTTTTAAAAACAATGATTAGGAAGCATTTGAAGTAGATTTGAAGCAAACATACACGACATTTACTGTAAAAGTGTAAAATAGTAAAAAAAATAAAAAAAAGGGCAATTATAAATTCAGAAATTGTCCGATTTATTCTATTTGTACTGATAGAAGATATTTTATCTGAATTCATATAATTGTAGAAAAATATGTAAGCATATATTAATATACAAAACTCAATTCAGAAATTTCCTAATTTGGCACTCTGTAGGCCTATAATGTATAATATACAAAGTTAGGGTTAGAATTCAGAAATTTCTAAATTGTGAGATCTGTATATATTATTTTATTTAATATTTTTTCTAAATTACAAATAATAAAATATTGAAAATTTTCATTATATCAGTACTGATAATTAAATATAAAAATATACGATCCCACAAGCCCGCAAGCGTGAAATCAGTATAAAGTATTTAGTTAGCTTGAACCAGTTTCAAGTAGTGATGTGCGGTTGTACACAATCCAGTTTATGATTTTTAACAGATTAACATCTAACAATAAAATGGATATTTATAGTTGTGTATTTATGGGTGGTTTTAACCAGTTTTATGTAGTCTAAATCGTGATGTTATAAATTGTGTTCAATAAAACAAAACTAGACTGACCCCACGGCCACAATGCCAGTTTGTTCTGACATATGAAATTGTTCTAAAATACAAAACTGCTTCTGCTGAGAAATAAACAATTCTAATCCTCACCACTAACCTTTGTGTTGTCTCTGGTTGCTTAAAACTGATTTCCTAATAAAACATTCACAATACCCGGTATATTAAAAATACCAACAAATGCTAAAGATATCATCCATTCGATTGTTTCTCAGCATTGAACATAAAAATGCTTGACTAATTTTTAAATACATTCAGTCATTTACCAAAACCAGTTTAAAATTTACGATTTCTGATATAACAGAATAGGTCAGACACAATCTAAATTTTTATTTTTTTTTTTTGTTTTTTTTTTTTATAACATAGGATAAATAGTGCAATTCGATACAATTTATAAAGATTTCCCAGTTTATTTTTAATTCGCTGATTTTATTAGGTTGTGATAGATTTGGCTTGTAAATGTTCCAGCAGAAAAATAACATTTTTTCAATGCAGTAGCGCAAAATGCCCCCCCCCCCCTAAGTGCCCTCCATATCACCCACATCTATGCTACTGGTTGTAGATGTTCAATGTTTTAATTGCTTTGGTATTTTAATTTTCATAAAGTATTATCTATGGTTAGCAGATGAGTCAGTTAATTATATTAATGTAGTTTCGTCACATTATTGATTTATTTCAGAACTCTACTGGCTAATTAGAGCAAATACGTGGAACAAACACCTGCCATTTCATTTCTGAACACCTGATACCAACTCTTACTTGAACAGCTCACACAGTTAAGATTTCTCTTGTATCATAATAGTATTCTAAAATTGAAATATGAACTTCTGGCCTAACTAAAAGGCAACGTCAGTGGTGCAGGACGGAGGGTCTGGCAATGAAAAGCAATGCACCCATCTAACATACTGGCTTACGAATAAACTGAAAGATATTACAGTGACATTATGAAAGGCATAGTGACATTTCTTTTTTAAAAATGATTGTTAAATGGGAGTGGTAAACACAATAGACAATAAAAAAATCATTTTATGTAACAAGATAAACAATCTATTTTTAATTTAAAGGGATTGCCATAATGTAGTGTCGTGCATAGGGCATGCAATGTGTCCTTACTCTTTGCAAGGGTGTCCCAATGTTGTCATGGTAGGTTCATGTAGCCATACTAAAATTATTAAATAAGAACCATTTGTAGAAAGAAAAGCGACCTCCACTGTCTTGTGATGCCATGAGTTGACAATTGGATACTTTAAACCTCTCTCTATCTAAATATATCTATCAACAAAGATGCACTACAAAGTTCAAATAGATAACTAACAACAAACTATAAACCCGACATCCTTTGGCTATAAACCTTGTGGTCAAAGGGGAGGTAATTTGGGAAAAATATCAGGGTACACACACACAATTAAAATCTTTCATATATGATTTTGTTTAACACATGACACAATTTTTTGGAATACAAGCAAAGAATGTCAACCATAGTACAATGATTTTGTTTGGTTTAAAAGCCAATGTACAATGTTCATTAAATAATTACCAGGACAAAATGATATCTGAATGAGATTGTCATAATGACCGTATTATGGAATAATTAAATAGGGAGTTAACCAGAGACGGGGAATTGACGGGTCCACTGCAGCAGCAAATTCATCCATTCTAAATCTAAAATCATTATTAACAAATCCTGCAGAGCATGTTTTAAAAACTCTGTTAGGATCTCAGAACTAAGCTTTAAATGAAAAAAAGGAAAATTCAGTTAATAAAAAGTGCATTAAGAGACACGCTACCTGCAGAAAAGTACAGCTAGCTATATCATTGGAGTGAATGTTACATACGCAAAAAGCATTGAAAGTTTACGATTCGAAATTTGTAATTCTGTTGAGTTGAAATGAACAATAATACCATCACCAATATTGCCTGATATTCAATCCAAATATTTATTCACATCAATTTAATGTGTGTATAATAAAATCAAAGTGAAAGTAGAATAACTTCTATGATGGAAGGGAGATAACTACAATTATGAATAAAATAAAACCAAGTAAGAATGCTATTATATTTGGCATCGTTTTCAATAGAAGGCTTATCTCACTTTTAACTCCTTACATCTTATCAAGGCCTTCACGTAATACCCTGCATATTTCGGCATTAATTTCAATTGGGTAATCACCCAGCTTGAGAGCCTATCAGATTTCTCGATCATCGCGAATACCAAGTCTTGCACTTTCCAGCTAAAATGTCTACCTGTGATAATTGAGTTGTGAAGTTCAAGGTTCGTTTTACTCGTCTTTACTACACTAGGATCTGGAAGAGTTGTTATATAACCTGTGTTCTGTTTGATGTGAGAGATTAGCCAATGTAACGGTCTGCTGCGGCGAGTTCTTGGCATGTGGTGCACGGAACTGTGGGTATCCCACTAGAAACATCAACACTAATTGGTTAATCAACTGTCTGATGTCATAGGGTCAAAAGCGACTCGTATGACCCCTGACACAACCGTCCACTACAATGGGTCAGATCTTTATGTAGTGGAGACCATCAAAAGTATAAAAAATACGAAACGAAATATAGATCTGTATTTTAATCAGATTGATCCAAACCGGGAGTCTATCTACTATTGATATTTTGATGTTATTTTCTTAAAGATACATTATGGGAGATAAGATAAAGAGATAAGAATAGGTTGCCAACGAACAGGTTGCCAGCTGGATCGGTCGAATAGGTCGCTAGCCGAATAGGTCGCCAATTTGTGTTCGGTTAATATCTGTCACGTGCCAGCTATCACGTGATGTAAACAATTAGCCATGTGGCTTAAATTGTGTCACAGTGTCCAGTTTAGAAACTTAATTTACACAAACGCGTTGTATATTATACCTCCAAAACACCGTAAGTTCTTGTTCTTAATATCCTAATAAAGATTACCTTTCATCAGATTTTCTGCCAAACGGCGAAACGATCACAAAATACAGCGCTAAACTTGCTCCAAATTTGTATGTTTACTATAGTGACCAGTGAGCGTGTCGAACCAACTACGTCACTTCCGGTATTAATAAAAGTTAATTTCTCGCTTGCAAATTATTTTTTGCATATGTTATAGGAGGGATTATTTCTAAATATATATTTATTATTTATGGAAACCTTATTGAAAATCGTTGGTCTTCCCCTTTAATATAAACAGCATAGTCTCGATTATCCACTTTTATTGATTTAATTATCAATAGCCGTTAGCGGCAAATAGGAATCTAATCCAGCCAACATCGAAGGCTGGATAAGTTAATTAATGTCTAATTGATAATTTAGATAACATTTCAGGCCTAAAGAAAGACTTGTAATAAGCAGATTTTGCTCTTGCATAATGCATGTTTAATGTAATGTTAAATAATTAATTTGAATACAGATCATATCAGCACAGATTAGGCCCAAAAAATGTAAGTGACGATAAACGGATTTGAATGTTTTTTCCAAAAAAAAATCCCTAAAGAACTGCTGTACAAAGCAATAAAAGAAATAAGAACTATACCTTTTAAAAAATGATATTATTTGTGGATTTATCAAAGTCTGTATTTAGCATCATGTAATATTCTTGTTATGCCACATGATAAAGACAACAGTTCTTGTATAAGCTCACTCTTGGATTCCTCTTTAAACACTTCCAGATGATTTTCATTCTCTGAAAACGCCGTATCCTCTGGATTTGAATTATCTGGAATGCATTGGGGATAGATGTACATGTATTGTCAACACAATACAAATTGTATTTTTAATTTTATAGGAAAGGTGCAATGAGCCCTGGGATAATTTTTGTCTGAACAGCAGCATTTCTGCTTACTCTTCTCTTTAATTTCAAACGGCCATGGGTTCACCTACATGCATGCCAATGTGAAAAGGATTTTTTGATCCCATCCAAACAAATAGGCATACTCTCGTATCGGCCAAGTTACCACCACCCCTGACAACAGTGTTGGGCTTTAAGAATATCTCATTAACCTTCTGAATTCATGTTGATATATGTGTTAATGATAAACAATGTTACTAGAAATTTTCACAAAACAAATCATCACATATCGATAATTTTATTTTATACTCAAATCAAATAGGTTTATTAAGGCATATCAAAGGGCCAATCTTGATTATATTTTCAAGAATAAAACTGCTTAATTTTGTGTTAAAAGCCCTTAAAATCATCTACCTTAGGGCTGAGCAACTAACTCAATATACGTGATACGTTTTCAAACAACTTCAACCCGTCAGTCTTCATCTGGAAATGGAGACTGGTGCCACAAGCTGTATTATATGGTGCCTGGATAAAACCAGACTTTTATTTTATAAAATAACGCGTAGGTGAAATTTACTTTTCGTTATGAAGTACATCACATGGTCGTGCACTGTATAGACCTCTAAAAGAATATAATTAGAGTACCAGGTCACCAAACGAAAAGAATTTACCCAAAATCTTAAAAGGGTTACATGTCCGGATAAGCAGTTTTGATGTTCACCTCCAAACAACTGAATATTTTGAGCTGTAAATTTTTAGACAAGGTAAATACACCATTCCTCTATATTTTGGGGCTTAAATTTCACACATACAGATTTTTATTTTTGAGACTGTTAAAATCGGGATGGTGTCTTTAAAGTATATGGTGTTTGAGCTATGTTACAATCTAAATGATGCTATCACTGTCACTGTAACCCAGGTATCGTTTAATCTTGTGTATCTAGCACTAATTTCTTTCACATTCGTTTAATATCAAATCTTTGTTTAAAAATTCGTAAAAATCGTTTAAAATCACCAAAAATCGTTTAAAATCACCAAAAATCGTTTAATTTGTACTTCTGTCCAGTTTAAAGCTGACCATTCAATTTTGATAATAAGTGTCCAATTTACAAGTGTTTAATTTCTCAATCATTGTTAAAAAATAAACAACCCAATTGATTAATGATGTATAATGATTAATTTTTGAACAGTGACCAGGAAATTAAATACTTGTAAATTGGACACTCATTATCAAAATTAATCAGTCAGCTTTAAACTGGACACATGTACAAATTAGATGATTTTGGTGATTTTAAACGATTTTTATGAATTTTTAAACAAAGATTTGATATTAAACGAATGTGAAAGAAATTAGTGCTAGATACACAAGATTAAACGATACCTGGGTTACAGTGTGTACTGTTGATAAAATAATGGCTAAATGATTTTATTATTTTATTGTATGATAAAATGATGGGTAAATCATATTATTGCTATATTGTTGATAAAAAAAAAGGTAAATAATTTTATTACTGTATTGTTGATAAATGATGGATAAAATAATGCTAATTTCGCTTAGGGAATCATTTAAGTAAGTTTTATTTTTGATACTGGTCTAAACTGTATTATCAAAGTATTGCACACCTGTACTGTGCATTAATTTTGTTTTATACTTTTGGCTGTTTGGTGGTAGAGTTTATTTTGGATTGATCCTCAACCATTTTGAAAACGATCACCATATGCAAAATCCCCTGCCACTTCATGAAAAAATATTTCATATCTTACTTGTGGTACTTGCTATATGCACATCACAGGTTTCCATATGATGTTGTGGAGAATCTGACACAATCTGAAACAGAAATAGAACATTTCTACAGAATTCACGAATTAAACATATGCAGTACATGGATAGAATTTAAATTATTTACCATTAGTCCAGCAGACTAATTTCAGAATATTTTTATTAGCCTGAAACTTGGCAATGTGAAAAAAATGAAACTGTTAATCCAAAATTGACACTGTGAAATAAATGAAATCAATTTAGTCTGAAAAAGGAATGAAATCATTAGACTGAAATTTAAAACTGTGAAATGAAAGAAATCATGAGTCTGAAATTTACAATTTGAAGATGATGAGCTATCAGACAAAGAGGAGAATTGAGATTGACTAAATTTGTGCCTAGAATAAAAACACTTTGCAGTAATAAAACATCAAGCTTTAAGATAAAAATAACTTAATGGATAGAATTTAAATCATTTACCATTAGTCCTGCAGACTAATTTCGTAATATTTTTATTAGCCTGAAACTTGGCAATGTGAAAAAAATGAAACTGTTAATCCAAAATTGACACTGTGAAATAAATGAAATCAATTTAGTCTGAAAAAGGAATGAAATCATTAGACTGAAATTTAAAACTGTGAAATGAAAGAAATCATGAGTCTGAAATTTACAACAATTTGAAGATAATGAGCTATCAGACAAAGAGGAGAATTGAGATTGACTAAATTCGTGCCTAGAATAAAAACACTTTGCAGTAATAAAACATCAAGCTCTAAGATAAAAATAACTTAAGTTTATATTACTTTTAAAAAGCATTTCTTTACCATTTCATATCATACTTTTTCATAACATGATCGATATTTCTGCCAAAGAAGTGCATCAAAACTTTTGGAAACAATGATATAGATTAATTATTAGTATTTGACAATACTCTATTACCATATCACATCAAAGATATGAAAACAGGAAATTCATCCATGCATTATTAGTGATTGGTCATAATTATTTAAATTAATGGTTCAAAATCAAAAACAAGGCCATGTACATCTTGGAATGTTGGTTGCCTGAGGGGTCTAACGTTTCTCCTTTAGATCATAAGGTCTGTCACTGAAAGACGAGGCATGGTTTTGCTTCCAGGTTTGTACGTGACAAGGCAAAGCGTCACCTGCTTAACCATGTTAGTTGTCTATGGAACCCAATACTTCTCTCCAACGCTTAAGACTTCTGTTGGTACCAAAATGACCTACTTATTGCTGATTAAGAATTGAAACCCAACTTCTCTCTCTGCAAATCGAGGCTTTAAATGTTGAATGTTCCATCACAATGTTAAAGAGCCTGTTCTTTAGAAATTAAAGTTTGCTGTATTTTTGTTTTTGATCTACATTGCAGCAAGCATTAGTTGCTGAGAACCACGGTTGATTATACAGCCAAGTTGTTGGTAGAAGACCTGTCTTTAATTGCAATGCTGTACCCACCTCGTCTCTGTCTGAGCAACTAGTAGAATGAACAATCTGTCGAATGTGAATCTGTTGTTCTCTTAACATACTTCTCATAGAGTTCTGGAAATTCTCTAGCTCACTGTCAAATTTCTCCTTGAAAAAGTTATCTATAAAGATAGGTCGCATCATGTTCAGTAAAACTGAATAAATAAAGCAAAACAGGGTTCCAATTTAATTTTTCGGACCTTCGAGTTTTGTTTAAAATTTCAAACCATTGAACTAAAAGTTTTTGAGAAATGCAACTAGGGAGAGAGAGATAGAGAGAGGGGTTTAACGTCCACTCAACACAAACTAGGTCATTTCAGGACTAAGTAGTAACACATGGTTCAATTTAATTCAATAATTTGCTTGCGCGTAGGGGTCTTTAGCAGTGGGAGAGAACCGGAGTCAGGACCCGGAGAAAACCCACGAAGTTGGACAGACCACCCTACTCCTTGTCACGTACAACTCGGGAATCGAAACCACGCCAGCTGACTCAATGACAGACCTTATGATACAGCGTAACGTGCTAACCACTTGGCCATCCAACCCCATGCAAACCTTGCAAAGTGTGGAAATGCGAAATACGCCTGCACATCAGCTTAGTCTCGAAAAAAAGACAGCATACAAGCTTATCTGAAAGGAAAAGCAAAATTACGCTAATTACCGGTAAAGGGTCATAACTCTGGGACAAAAATAGAGACTGCGTTCAAACTCAACTCTCGTCTATTCATAACAGCCATTATCCTAAAGTTGGAAAAAGATTCGACAAAAATTGTTTTCTCCAGGGTGCAGACAAGTAAGTTAGACGGACCGACGGCCTTAAGAACATTTTCATGCTTTTTACTACTCAAGTCTGTTACCCCAGTTAACTGGAGTTACAGCTTGACTTGTCTTCTTGTGCACGCAAGATCTGAGTGAAACAAAATCAGTTTCAAATCTATTTGCATTAATTCAAGTCAGTCTGTATCTATTTGTGTAAGTTCTGATTACAGATACATGTATGCTCTGATTAGATTTGGAGCCCTCTAGTGTCTCCTTTTTGCATCAGTTCACATAAGAGCTGCTATTAGAATTGAAACCCCGTAGTATGCCTCTTGCCAGTTTTCACTGTATTGGCAAAACAAAAACTTAACATACTAAAATGAAATAACAGGTCGTCTAAATCGTTGTTCCCGTGCATTAACTCATCTTGATTAAAATCCTGCCAATGGTTAATTTGATCAGCTGATTTTTGAGAACTGTCATCTTGTGTTCCGTGACTAGAATATCCTACATCACCATCTAACTCTGTTAACTCTAAATTTGAAACCGATTTCTGGGTAAAGTTAACTCCATCTGTCATCTAATAAAGAAACAAATGTGAAATTTAAATTTTAGTGTGAATGTATGGAGCAATAATATAGAGTCTACTCGAATTTCAATTTCCAACTGTCAAGGGTTCTATTACGTGCATTCCAGTGTGTACATTTTTCCGATCCAAACAACTAGATACTGTAACTTACTAGACCCTCTGTCTTGCACCGCTGACAAGGGGAAACCATACTGGAAAATCCTAAGGAACTTTCTTGGCCAGCACTGTGATTGAACCTGTGACCCCCAGGTTAGCCAGCGCTTAGTCACTGAGCTACAACAACCCCCTCCTCCCACCTCCCCACTTCTAAAGAACCATATGGAAAAAAAATGTACTGTGGTAGTCCTCGAAATGACCAAATTAGTGTTAATTGGAACCTCAAAACCTTGGTTTGACCACAAATATCTTTGCTAATACATGTACACTGTACAGCTGTCTTGTTTCTCAAAAGTGGGATGGTTTGGTATAATTCATGAGAGCAAGTCAGTCGCACCAGTCACCCCCTGGTTCAAGTGTGAAAAGGGGCAAGCTTACTCTGGGCTATGCTACCTGTTTATTAATAACTATGCCCTTTCCATTTTTCAGATTTATTTTTCTGTTTAAATGTAATTGAAAACATTCAAATTATATTTGTTATTACATTTAGTCGGTACCGTATTAAATGTATTTCAAGTTATCACCCTTTTCTTCCTTTTTCAATTTGCATAATTTAATAAAATAACTTAATAAGCTAAATTTATGACTATGCATCTGGGGTTGCCAAAATTGCCTCCCACCCATGCTTCCACCAGCCTGACGTTACTGCACTGTCATTCCATCGAATACTGTATACATACATGATGATAATCTTTAGCCTCTTTCTCTGGTAACATGGCTTCCATAGCTGGTCTAGTTCCTTCACATGCATTTTCACTGACAGGACTGAAAGATAAAGATTAAAACCAGTCCTAAAACATGAGACTGCATTTCTGAACTACCAGTAGTTACTAGTACATGACATAATAGGCATTTTTGCATACATTACATTTGTTTGTTTCAAGTTCTTTTACATTTTCTATTCAAACCATACATTACCATGACATAGCCATTTTTTCATACAGTCTATCGGGGAGCATTTCCACTCAATCTTCTTTTTCCCTTTAGGCCTAATATTACAACTAAAAAAAATCACACAAAATCATGAAAAAATATTGGTTACCACTTGCCAGGCAAAGATATATACACTTACAATCAACATAGTCATTTGTCACCAAAGCCTCAAAGCGCTTTAAAAAGTTGTTCTTTTGAGAAAAAAACATAATATCAAAACTCTAATTACAAGGTTTTGTTGACAAAGGAAATAACTTCACTGTATCTGATGAATGTCTCCAAATGTCAATCAATATGGGCCATATTTACAGCTTGTGAAACAAGAAGTTCACAAATAAAATGACAAGGGCAGTAATTGCTAAGTCATGAGTTGTAATAGGATTCATCTTTATATCTAGTCAATCAATACAATAATAAAAATCATAAAGATAATTTTGTCAGGCAACAAAATCATTTGTTGGTGGGACAAGACACACAAAGAGGATAATTTTGTGGGGTTGCACATTGAACGATGGCAGATAATATTTTCTCTTACAATTCAACATAAATATTTATAAAAAAAAAAGACATCTTTTTGCAAAAAAATGATTACTTTTAGAAAATCTGTTTAGAGAAGCAGCCAATAGTATTATCACTTATGGGAGAGATTCAGGGAATATCCTATGTCTAACCAGTGTTTTATGTGCTTTACAGGTATTGCTTTGGCACATTCACCACTGCAAATCTGTAATGCACAAGTAAAGAACATGAGTTGTTAGGGTAAGGCCAAGAAATGGTTGCACTAGAAATAACTTCCGGCCTTGATTTCAGTCACAGTAGTGGATGGTTCTAAGGACTTCCAACAGGTTTTGTAACTAAAAGCTTGTAACTCCCTTAATTTCCAATTAATCTGGCATAGCTTAACATAATTATAATTAATTGTGTTCACTCTCTGGATTGTTGCCCTTCGACTAGTAATAACATACATTCAACACTTGGCCTGGTGTTTTTGTGGAGGCCCAAGAACAGAGAGAGGTTTAAGTCCACTCGACACAAACTAGGTCATTTTGAGACAAAGTAGTAACATACAGTTCAATTTTATTTCAATAATTCGCTTGCGCATAGTGGTCTTTTAGCAATGGGAGGAAACCGGAGGACCTGGAGAAAAACCCACGGGATTGGACAGGCAACCATACTCCTTGTCACATACAACCGGGGAGGGGGAACCACACCAGTGCAGTTGGCTAAATGAGGCCCAAGAGAGGGAATAGCTAAGGAATGAGATGGGGTTGTGGAGTCTAATTCTTGGATCTATGGTGGAGAGAGGGGATGGGGGAGAAGAAGAAATTATTTATATAGTGTACACTATACCTCCAATACTTATACTGCAAAGGGGCAATCCAGAGAGACCAGTACACTAATCCACATTTCCATACAATTTCATAATTTTGAAAAATCCAATGGCTACTCAAGATTTTATGTGGCCATTGACGTGGGTAATGTCATCTCCACATCATGATCATGGTCATGGTACGGTAAAAGGTCGCCTCGAAAAAACGCATTACAATATTAATGTTGCCTATCTAAAGAAAGAGAAACTATCTTTAATGGTTCACACTTCATCGTTTGTGATAAAAAAGTATTTATTTCAGTACAAATTTAATTATGAACATATATACATTTATGTATTGAAAATCATTCGTTTGCGACTAGGCTATCTTCACAATACAATGTCGACAAATCTGCCATCAACTCAAGTCACAGCTAGCTGGTCCTTATCAGCTGGATGTTCGGAAGATGCTGAAAACTGAAAAGAAAATGATAATAAAATAAGTCGTTGAGTCTAATACCTGTTTTGTGTCAATATATTTCGAAGCATGTAAGTGGTGAAGTAGCATAATCAGTCAACTGTAATGTTTGCACGTATTATTCGTAATGTTTTCTTACCGGTTTCTGCCCTGAACTATTTTGATTCATTGAATTTGGCGCCACCTACAGTACCAGGCTCTGGAGATTGCGCAACAGGTGCTTCCTGTTGACGTGACCTGGCGGCTATAGAAAAAGAAGAAACTGGCCTAACGTCGGCGGAAAATCAACTGCTTTAGAACTTTTAGATAATTAAATTGGGCATGTTTATTCATTAATCTGACAAGTGAAGCCACAGAGTACCATACTTTTGAACTTTTCCTGTGTAGAGTTCATAATTCCTGCAAGTGGATGTCCACAGGTTGGATGTCTTTTCGCTAAATCACGTGCTTATAAAATCAAAGGGAAATAACTCAAAATTTCATACTTTTGAAGGTTCTGTAAACCGACATGTACGTGAGTACTTCATTGAACGTTTTATACTTCGTTGTTTTAAAGTAGCTAAGTCTCTAGTAACTCAATATCATCCAAAATCTTCAACATTGAAAACACTTTTTATTTGTCAAATTAAAGGGGCTAAATCGCTAACATTTGGGACCTAGAAATTGACAAAAGTGGGTCGCAACGCATATAATACTATAATATGAATGTATATAAACTGATTTACATTCAATATTTTCCGTTTTTACTCCAATTTCAAATCAGTTATGTTCGGCGAAATAAGCCAGCAGTCTCAATAGCGAGTGCAAATTAATTCTAGCGTCTGGTTATTCCAGTCACATACGCCGTTTGATTTGGTGCAATGTGTCTAGCCTCGTCCCTCGAGTCTCTTGATTCAACTGCCACTGGGGCTGAATGCACTATGGTACACGATTCGTGTACCAATGGTAAAATGTTTATTTTGTCTTAAATATTGGATATCAGTAGCCCATCTTTTTCCGGTAAGATCACAACATGAATGTTGATTTAATTTGACACATAAATCGTGTTTTCAATGTTGAAGATTTTGGATGATATTGAGTTAGAGACTTAGCTACTTTAAATCAACATTCATGTTGTGATCTTACCGGAAAAAAGATGGGCTTTTGTCTGATATCCAATAAGACAAAATAAACATTTTACCATTGGTGATACACGAATCATGTACCATAATGAGTTTCAGCCCCAGTTGTATCAAGAGGGACGAGGCTAGACACATTGCACCAAATCAAACGGCGTATGTAGACTGGAATAACCAGATGCTAGAAATTTGCACTCGCTTGTGACTGCCTGACTTATTTCGCCGAACATAACTGATTTGAAATTGGAGTAAAAACGGAAAGCATTGAATGTAAATCAGTTTATATACATTCATATTACAGTATTATATGCGTTGCGACCCACTTTTGTCAATTTCTAGGTCCCAAATGTTAGTGATTTAAAAAATTAGCTCCTTTAATACTTCATTGGTCGTTTTATATTGTTTAGCTGTTGAAATGGAGTTTACCCCAGAGGCAAGAGAAAACGTGGTCAAGTTATTTCAAGGTAAGTCCCATAATATTAATACACGACATGACATGTGACATCACATGTACACTATGACTATGATATGAATATAATGTAGTCCGAGTTTTAAAGATTATCTTCTACTCTACTCTGGACTAATGACTATATTCTAGGGAAGAGTGCTGGTCTACTGTGGATCAAGCTGTTTCATTCAATATTTTGAGGGCAACAGTGGTTTAGGACACTGGATTCTCAACCTTATTGGTTCTCTTCTCATTGACATTTGTCTTTGGTCAGAAGGAATGTTGGTCAAGTCATTCGGATGAGATAAAACCCCAGTCCCATGTATAGATTGGTAGTGAATGTAAAAGATCCTTTGGCAGTTGGAATTTGATAAAAAAAATAGGTGGAAAACTCAATGTACTGGCAAAATTTTCTACTTACATAAGTTACATTGCGTAAAAATAAAAATTACTGTATGTCAATCTCAGAATGACCTACATGTAAGTGAAACATGGATGAGATGTTAAAATTCCATTCCATTCTTTTAATATTATGATTTTGAAATATTTTATTGATTATGAAAAATAGGAAATGTAGAGAAATTATGTTCTGTGAAAGAATCTGTGGTGCCTGAGTGGTGGTTAAATGTTGTTGACAAAACAAGTGAAATACTTTTACAACTGAAGACAAATTCTTTTGATGAGAAAAACAAAGATACTAATTCTAAGATTGTAAGTTATTTTTATGTTCTTACAATAAACAGATATTGATAAAAATAAAGGGTAGTTCATATCAAGAGTATCCAGGAAACTTGGGTGAAATGTGCAGATGTTTTAGAAAGGGTACCAAGTATTGTTGTGTCAGTTGGGAATGTCTGTCTGTGGAATCCCACCAGATCATGAGTCTGTGCTAGTTAGCCCGTTGAATAAACACTGGACAGCAGAAATGAAGCCCATAATACTGTAACCTTCAACAACTTTATAATTCTGGATTAAATTTATTCCATCAGCAACAGCATAACAACATTAAAATAAATTAACAACTAAACTGGCAGAATAATATGATGTGCATCTTTACACATGGAAAATTAATATACATATATATCTCTAGTTATAATCAGATGTTCAGTTGGTTTTGGTTGTTTAGACACTAATCTCCAATACTTTTAAAGTTCAATATATTACACAATAAATATTTTATCAAAATGTTGCCACAAACGACTTAAACTAAATCTTAAATTAAAATGAATTTTATAAAGACAATAGATATAAGGATGCAGAAAGTTGATATTAAACTATTAAAACAACTATATAATAATGGTCCAGTTGATAAAAAGGTAAAGACTAAAATTACATTTAATTATTTTGAAGGCAGTGGCTATTGTTACGACGAGTTGTAAAAATAGTCCCCAGGATATTGTTACGACGATGCTTTCACAGCCCTCCATCGGCGAAGTTAAAAACTGAATAGTCGTAATAGCCCTAACCCTTCCCATCTCTTAATTGCTGCCTTCAGTTCTGAAAGCATTGAAAATACTGCTCCTTTTTCAAAGCTGGTGTTTGGGAGATTGGCAGCCATTTTGGAATTCGTTCTAAACTTGGCTCAGACTCGTCATAACAATAACCACTTTGTATTTTGAAACAAGTAAAGGAGATTGGAATTTAGTAAGATACCAAACTATTAAAACAACAATAAAATATGCTTTAGCTGATAAAATGATAAAGATTTAATTATAATGAAACAAGTGTAGGAGAATTAGTGTCTGACTATAGCTATTACTGGACTGAATTACATTTAATTTAAAAATACAATTAAATGATATATGATTTGAATAAATGACAAGAATTATTTACAAATACACAATATTAGAAAAATAATGTATGTTTTTCAATCATTATGTTGGAATGCTTGGTTATACATGTACTACCAGCCCCAAATCAAACCTAAAAATGACGTTAACTAATGTTGTTTTTCTTGGTGTTTAACGTCCTCTTTCACTGATGGTGATATCGCAGACAATTCTTATTATCTTTGCATATGTGCAGGGGTGTTTCATGTCCAACCTCGTGGGTTTTCTCCGGGTCCTCTGATTTCCTCCCACTGCTAAAGAATTGTTGAAATAAAATTAAACTATATGTTAGTCCCGAAATGACCTAGTTTGTGTCGAGTGGACGATAAACCTCATTTCTCTCTCTCTCTCTTTCATGTAGGAGAAAACCGGAGTAAGCTCGAAGTGCGACACTCTAGACCGCTAGGCCATCTGAAGCCCTATGTTAATTTAGCAAATTAAAATCCTATTCTGTTTTGTTTTTTATACTATACAGTTCAAAATTACTTGTCTTTACTGCACTAGGATTTGGAAGAGTTGTTATGTAACCCATGTTCTGAATGATGTGAGGGATTAGCCAATGAAACAATCTGTTGCAGCGAGTTCATGGCATGCAATGCACAGAACTGTGGGTATCCTACTAGAAACATTAATGCTGATTGGTTAATCAAATGTCTGACGTACATGTAACAGGTCAAAAGCCGCTCATATGACCCCTGATGCAACCTCCCACTACAACTCATCAGGTCTTCATGTAGTAGAGGCCATCGAAATTATAAAATATTTGAAATGAAATATAGATCTGTATTTTAATCAGATTGATGATTAACAATTGTCAGTGGTTTGTTGACTTAAATGAATAACAATTATGGTTTGTTGACTTAAGTCAGTAACAATAATTGTTACTGACCTAAGTCAACAAACCATAAAATATTGTGGTTGTGGGTTGATTTTTCAGATAGAAAATAATGCTGTTAAACTGTGGAATCATATTGTACCTATGAAAACTCAGGGATCATTATCAAATATTTCTAATGCTAAATGTAAGTGGATTAAATCATCTCAATAAAAGCTGCTGATCATCATTTGCATTTTTGGAACAAGATTTAATTTTTCATGGTTTAATCAACGCTAAAATTAACTAAAATTAATTTTAAAAAAAAAACAATACCAAAATATCTACAGTAGATTATCTGCTGGCTTGGATTCAGTAGGATTAGAAAGAGGTCATTTAAACGATTTCAGCGAAAATTACAAGTAGCGCTGGCTGATTATAAATATGTCCTATGTATTGTCTGCAGTAGATGTTGAATATTGACAAATTTTCAATATACCATTTCTTTGTAATACTGAAAAGAGGTGAATCATATTTGGACTGATATTCCTTTTAGAGATTCAACTTTGAAAATATTGTAGTTTAGCATGTGCGGAAAAATCTTACAGCACCGCATGAAGTGGATGGTACAAAAAACTTTGTATAAATAAATAGTACCCCTAATGCTATAAGGTTCCCATTGTCGTGCGATGTGTTACGATAAAATTGCCCCTATTGAGTCCACAATCTAGTACGTGAAGATAAGTTCGGATACGTTTTGATGCAATCAACACGATTCCTATGACTAACTGATAGCATTGCAATTACTCTACGTTTAAAAACCGTGATTTCAATCATAGCGCAAATCGTGATAGTGGGAGCCCAGTATTTAAGATGCACTGTAAGTTGGAATTTGAAGGAGAGCTATGATATATGATTTTGATTTTAATATGCCCACATTGAAATGTGGTTGTATATTGCCACTGCCCCCTTCTGTCCTTCTGGCGTCCACAAGCTTTAGAGGCTAAAATTAATATATGTTTGACTTCACATTTATACACAGTGTTTAAGGTCTCAAAACCACGCTAATTGAAACAATGACAGACCTTATGATATAGCGAACACATGCTAACCATTCGGCCATCCAACCCCCCTGTTAGCATGGGCAGAACTAGAAGCCAAAAAAATTTGAACGATTTTCTGGTAATTACTTAATATTATTACTTGTAATCAGATTTTAGTACTATTATAAATCTTTCAGTCCTGGCAAAAGAAAACATATTGTTGACTGTCCGGATGACTTAGCTGCTGTGGGCGTATGTTTCATTGCCTGGCAACCTATCTTTTATTTCAGTGAGACATATTTGTTTCATGGCTGTAACATATTCTGGTTCTGATTCTGTTGATGATGCAGTTCTGAAACGACAAACAATTGTAAGATGATTTATTTTCTATTATTATCATTACCCTAACCTTCCCAGAGACACTTTGGCTACAAGTGGTTATTGCTGGAATTAGAATTAACAATCTTCAATTTGCAAGTTTTAGTTTATGTTAAGCAACAGATGGAATAGCAGAAGGTGTTTGAAATTATTAATGAAAGTATGATCTGTTTGTATTAAATGATTTCAGATGGGAATGAAGACAGCAAGAGCTTGGATAGGTAAATTTATTCTGATTGTTACAGATATTTTTGTTTTAAAAGTAATAATGTATTAAAATTAGTTCACAAGGCTTGCCACTAGCAAACTGATGCGAGTACTTGATGACCACTCTCCCAGATATACACGTTTGTGAGTACGCTTAAATACTTGTACAGAATAATTGGCTTGAGTAGCTATTTCCCTTGGTAATTGTTCAGCATGTTGAGGAGATTTAGCAACATACCCTAATATGATGCAGAAAGGATGACTGATGAGAACAAGATTATAAATAGTTACTACAGAAACAACAACAAAATTTTCTATATCCTCTTCGATCTTGATTACCCATACCCACTTGTAAAAAGAATGTTTATATCTTGTAGAATGTAATCAGATGGAACAAGCAGAAATAGTTTTAAACGTAACTCATCAGGTATGCTGATTTAAGGTTATCCTTTAACAATATTTTCTTGACAGTCCAGATCCTAAATACTTAGCGGTCATTAAGAAAATATATTGAAACTTACCGGTGGTGAAATTGACCAGATGGAGAGCTTATTACCACCTGTTTTCAAATTTACATGACATTAATTTGAAATTTCAAAATATTTAATCCTAAAGCAATAATGACATTTTCTAAAATTATGCAGTGTACATTTAAAATTGGCAAATATATCATTTTTAGGTTCAAACATCTACGTTCAAGTTTGCTAATACCATATGAGCTGTTTTATTTATTATTAGAACAATATGATGTGTGCAGGTTGACTAAGTAAACTAGGCATCATTATCCTTATCTGTTTGACCACAGACTTTGTCAATTGAGACAACACCAGTGGATTTCCCCACTGCCATTATGATACAATTTCCAAGTATAATGTACTTTGGGCTGGAATGATTTCTATGATTGTATAATAGTGATTTGATATCCAATTAAGCAATAGGTACATATGTATAGATATATTTGTTTTGACTTTCTAAGAAAATCTGCAACTATTGCTTGAAAAACAGTTTTCATATGCAAAAACAGTTCATAATGAATTTAAAAACTGGCATAATGCTAGAAATATTCATATTCTTTGGAAGAAAGGTATTACTGTTCTGACCAACTAGCAACAGTTTTGAAGTGAAAGTTGTGTTACATCTCTTTATTGTTTCTGTTTGTAGTGTGTAGAGAAGTTGAAGACCACCCTTATCAATAGGATTAATGCAGGGAACACCAGTGGTAATGGGGTTAATTGTGGAACTCTAGAAAAAGACAGACTTGAAGTTGACCGAGATATTCTTAAAATACTTACTTGTAAAGCTGAAGTTGTAAGTGAATTTAATTTACCAATTTTTTTAATGAAATTACAAGCCTAATAACAAAATGATCTTTGTTGACCAACATCAAGGTAACCCTGGACCTCCTGGTGGGTGAGCCATATGAATGGGAACAACAGTGTTTCGGTACAATGGTTACTTAAAGATATATTATGTAAGATTTAGATAAAGAGCTAGCCATTCTTGCTATAATAGTTGAAAATAGAGCATGTAAAATGAATAATTTGAAAATTTCATTCAAATTACTCTATTGCGAGCAAAGATATTAGTCTTTGGAGGTTTGACAAGATGTGTGCAATAATTTCAGCCACCGTACTGGTTGTTCGAAGCTAAATCTCGCTCCTTCATTTTTAGCTTAAATCAAAATATGGCTGAACTGTTCTAATCTATTTAATATTGGAGAACTCTGATGGCATCGAGAGTTGATTATGGCCTGGATAAGTTAATTAATGTCTAATTAATAATTTAGAAAACATTTCAGACATAAAGAAAGACCTGCAATAGGCAGATTTAGCTTTTGCATAATGTATGTTTAAATTTGTGCCTTTTGTTTAAACAACATGCATAGGTATAGATTCAAAATGGTAATGAAGAAGAAGTAGGTGTAAATGTCATCTGTTTAAAATGTCCACATTGTTCCACAAATTTATGAATATTTTCAGGCATCCGCACAAATGCAGACTGAAACTGCGATAAATTTGATATTTACAGCTAAAGAGATGTTGGCAAGATTTCCTCGAGAGGTAGATTATTTTTTCTTAGAAACTTTTCTTGTGATTGTTTACTTGCCTCATATATATACTGAGCGCCATGGAAAACGCATCACTTTTTTTCCCCAAATATTTTATTACTAAGTAGTTTTGTATGTATAATATTATGCAATACTATGAACTATTGTTTCACACAATGCTCCCAAGCGCAAAAAATATCGGCCTGTGTGCACAAAAAAAAATTGGACGAGATGCACATGAAAAACCCAATATTCATGTGCAGCATTGTGTGTGAGCCCTTTAAAAGCATGTTTTCAACTTAATGTGCAGTACATGAACTGTGAAACGTCAATCTGTCGTAATTTGTTGTTGAACGTGTGAAGGAATCGAGCTAGAGATGCCGAGACTTACTGAAAATCAACGGAATGAAGCCATGGGAATGTCCAAGGCTGGCATGTCTACACCTGATATTGCCAGACACTTCAATTATCATTAGTCCACTATTGTAAGGTTGGTGGAACATGTTCGAGTTACTGGATCAACACGTGACCGTCAACGTCCTGGTCCACAACGCGTTACAACCCAGGCTCAAGACCGCTACATCCGACTCACTCATCTGCGTGACAGATTCCGCCCAGCGACTCGAAAAGGTGCAGCAGTCATTGGAAGACAAGGGCCAGTAAGTGCCAACACCGTAAGACGTCGTCTAAGAGAAGTAGGACTCCAGGGATCATCACCGTCAGCGGCATTTGATATGGGCTCAAGGACACCAGACATGGAGAAGAGTAGACTGGCAAAGTGTGCTCTTCAGTGATGAGAGTTGCTTTCATCTTTATCACGCTGATGGCCGTCAATGTGTGTGGAGACGTCTTGGGAAACGTCTTGCAGACTGCTGCGTCTTCGAAACGAATCGATGGGGTGGGGGAAGTGTAATGGTGTGGGGAGGCTTCACATTTCATCACCGGACCGCCCTACACATTTGCAGGGGGCGCGTTAATGCTGTAGCCTACCGTGACGATGTCTTGCAACCAATTGTTGTTCCGATGTTTCGAGCACACCCACAACTTCAGCACTTCCAACAGGATAATGCACGTCCGCATACCGCCCGTTTTAGTATGGACTACCTGGCTGCTAACAACATCAATGTCTTGGACTGGCCAGCCATGTCTCTGGACATGGCACCGATAGAACATGTCTGGGATGAGATTGGACGCCGTCTGTATCGAAGACCACAGATGCACACCATTGCTTCTTTAGAAGCTGCTCTTGTCCAAGAATGGAACAATTTACCCAAGGCCTTCTTTCAAACATAGGAAAATACCCTGCGACGTCGCTGCACAGCGTGCGTAAGAGCCCGTGGAGGACACACGCGCTACTGACATCTGTGTCGTACTTTTGGTTTTGACCCCTCTGACTTTGTACTGTTGATTACAGATTAAACATCCATAAGTGTACAAATGTGTTGTTATTGATGTGTTCCCATTTGAATATTGTTCACAATAAGAAGCAAAATAAATAAGATATGTTTACAGGATCATTTTGTTATACGAAAAACTAAGTGATGCGTTTTCCAAGGTGCTCAGGGCCCTGTTTCACGAAATTTTAACTAAAGATAAAATCCAGATTTTAGTAGATACTTCAATTTTGATTGGCTAAGCACTAAAATCAATCTAATATTATCCAATCAAATTACTAAAATTTGGATTTTTATCTTAGTTAAAATTTCGTGAAACCGGCCCCAGTATTTATATATATCTTGTGCCTGCCTTATCTGGAACACCTGTTATTTTCAGTTCATCATGGGTATTTTCTGCTGTAAGATGTTGCAGAATTCATTCACTGGAATATTGTGTCAGGGATCATATACGAGTAATGTGTGTTGTTTCAAGGATCGTATATGAGTAATGTGTGTTGTTTCAAGGATCATGTATGTGAGTAATGTGTGTTGTTTTAAGGATCATGTATGTGAGTAATGTGTCTTGTTTTAAGGATCATGTATGGGAGTAATGTATGTTGTTTTAAGGATCATGTATGGGAGTAATGTGTTGTTTTAAGGATCATGTATATGAGTAATGGGTGGTGTGTTTCAAGGATCAAATATGAGGAATGTGTGTGTTTCTGATAACATGAATGATGTATATTTCAAGGATCATAACTTAGTAATGTGTGTGGATCAGGAATCATATCAATCTAATTAAAATACAGATCTATATTTCATTTCTTTTTTTTATACTTTCAATGGCCTATACTACATGAAGATCTGACCGGTTGTAGTAAAAGGTTGCGTCAAAGGTCGTACGAAAGGCTTTTTACCCTATGACGTCGGAGATTGATTAATCAATCAGCTTTGACGATTCTACATGTAGTAGTTTACCGACAGTTCTGTGCATCGCACGCCAAGAATTCGACATAGGTTATATAACAACTCTTCCAGATCCTAGTTTAGTACAGACAAATAAAATGAAATTTTGAACTATAAAAAGCAAAACAAAATAGTATCTGTGTTTTAATCAGATTGGAATCATATATGAGTAGCCTAATGTGTGTGTTTCAGGTATATGCGATTGGTGTATGTATTTTTCTGTGATCATATATGAGTAAAGCGTTTTTCAGGAATCATATTTAAAGTGTGTTTCAGGGAGCATATATGGGTAAAGTGAATATATATTTATGAGTAAAGTGTTTCTGGGATCATACAGTACATATACATGTATGAGTAAAATGTGTTTCTGGAATCATGTACATGTATGAGTAAAATGTGTTTCTGGGATCATGTACATGTATGAGTAAAATGTGTTTCTGGGATCATGAGTAATGTATGTTTCAGGGATCATATATGAGTATGTTATGTTATAATTTCGGTGTCGATACATTTCAACGAAAGCAGTATGAAGAGAGTGTGACCTGGTTAAAAGAAAGTTATGAATTAGGAAAGGGAAGAGAAGGATTGGACCCTAAAAATCAGGTGATCAATAACAATCAAACTACTAATTGTGAAGCTTTTCAGAGTTAGCTGAGTGATCTAAGGCATTTCATTATGATATCTTGAAAAGTATATGAGATATACTATTCAAAAAAAGTAGGGGATATTTGATTTTGGGGGCATAATACTAAAATATGCAAATGACTACGAAAAAAGTCACTATGGAACCTAACAGAAGAAACATTTCCAGTTACATGTGACGCCCAAACGCACCAATAGCTACCGCATGGAATGCAGGTGATGCTTGGGATCATCATGGGGGTCCAACCCAAGATTTGCACGACTCTGACTTTGAATGTTACAGTCATTGTGGCATTGAATTCCAGGGTGGAAACATCAGTTTAATTGTTTTAGTGACCAGAAAACAAATTTTGATATGCGTCGGCTTACCCAAAATGAAAGGTTACGTGCCCTTGGCATGCTACAGATCGGCACAACAGAGGCGGTTGTGGCGCGGACGATGAATGTTTCTCAGTCTGTCATAAGCAGGCTATGGTCCAGATACCGTTATACACAATCTGTACAGGACAGACCACGCTCAGGTCGACCAAGGGCGACAACTCAAGCCCAGGATCGATTTATCCGTACCTTGGCCTTGAGAAATCGTGTCATCACAGCAAATCAGATCAGCGCTCGTCTTCAAACAGACACTGGTGTGAGAGTGAGTGGCCAGACGATTCGGAATCGACTGCATAGGGGTCACCTTCGCGCCCGACGTCCTCGCGTGATCCCTTGTTTGAGAGATCATCACATTCAGGCAAGACGTCGTTGGTGTAGGGATCGTCAACACTGGGATAATCGACGCTGGAGCAATGTGATGTTTTCAGATGAGTCAAGGTTCACTGTTGATTTTTTGGACAGACGTAGGAGGGTGTGGCGTCGTCGAAACGAGCGCTTCCAAGACGTTAACGTCATCAGACATGATCGATTTGGGGGTGGTTCTGTTATGGTGTGGGGAGGCATCACTGTTGCTGGAAGAACGGCTTTACATGTTGTTGCAGGGCGTGTTACAGGCCAGTACTACCGGGACAACATCTTGGCAGTCCATGTTGTGCCGTTCGCACGACGTCATGGCCGCCGTTTCATCTTCCAGGATGACAACGCAAGATGTCACAGGGCCAGGATCGTTACAGGTTACCTCCAACAACAGAACATCACCACATTACCTTGGCCAGCACTGAGTCCCGACCTCTCCCCCATCGAGCATGTCTGGGACATGCTTGGACAGAGGTTACGTCAACGTCAACAACGTCCTGCCAATGTCCAAGAACTTGCTGCTGCGTTGCAACAGGAATGGGACAATCTGGACCAAAATGACCTTAGACGTCTCATTAGGAGTATGCCACGTCGGATTAATGCTTGTTTGGCAAACAGAGGAGGATTTACCCGTTACTGACTTGGTTGTGACCCCGGGTATCATTTTACCCTTATAATGGCCAGTCTGTGCCTTACTTAGTCTAACGATCATTTGGAATAAATCGATGAATGTGAACTTCATTTCATTTTGTCATTTGTTTCTTCGTCAGTTTCATTAGGTGACTTTAATAACACTTAAAAATCAAATATCCCCTACTTTTTTTGAATAGTATACAATGTATATCATCTAGAATAAAGATTGTATACCAAAATTAAGTCAAATTTGTTTCATGGAAATACAAAACTTTTTAAAAATAGCTGAAGGCATAACTACTATGATAGAGTGATGTGCGTGCAAAGTTTCATACAGATATCTTGAGTGGTTCCTGAGATATGCCCAGTAAACACAACCTGAACAAAAGGATAAACGGACAAAGCACATTTCAATATCCCTCACTAGGCTTATCCCTCACAGAATATTAATATTAGGTTGGGTTACAGTGAACTGTATTTGATATAAAAGGCTTATTTTCTTTTAATAAAAAGAACCCTACAAACATTTAATGGGTTTTGTGTTATATTTTTTTAAAAGACAATATAAATAATATAATAAAAACACAAGTGACAATAACTGAACTATATATTTATGTGTATTTTATCTGCAGGCTCGTACCTTGAGATTTCTAGCTAATGTATATTTAGAATGGAATGAAGATTATTATTGTGATAAAGCCATGAATGCTATTACACTGGCAAATACTGTAAGTCACAAGTATGAGTGTACAATAGACCAGGAACCGATCATGACATTATCTTGGAATTATGACTTTCTGTAAAAATCAATGCACAGTTATCCTAGGAACAAAAGTATGCCAAGTTTCATGTTGATCTTACTTGAAAAGCATTGTCCCCAAGAACAATAATAACAACAACAAGATGAGTAGCGCTTGGTACCCAGTTCCTGGTTCAAAAATTTAAGATAAAACATCTTTTGTCTTTCATTTATTAATCTTTTATTATCATTGGTATACATGTTCAAGAGCCTTTTTATTTGAGAGAGGGGATTTGTTCTGAACATTTGAATTTTGCTACGCCACTGCCTACTCTTACTTCAAATGTTTTTTCCCCATCCGAATGACTAGACACTCCTTGCCAGAGTAATAAATGTTCATGTTTTTCTACAGGAGTATGTACATCCTGCTGGACTATATCTCAAGTTACGAGTTTTATTATTGTCTAAAGACACCTCTTCTTCTTTAAACACTGGTAAGATATATAGACAATCACATCGCCATAATACAATATATCAATATTGGAGAAAACCCACAAGTTTACATACAAGGCTGGGATCGAAACCATGCCACTTGACTCCCTGAAAGACCTTATAATCTAATGAGTGCACACATTAGACCACTCAACCACCAATTCCACCCATGTATATGGGATAGCTTTAGTAATCTATTCTTATTCGTATTGTTGGGCCTCATATACATGTATAGATATACTGAGACACAGGTGACAAGAGATATCTGTATTACGAATTGGCTGCTTTGGTGGTTTGGACTTAAATAAGCAAGAACATTGTTTTTGATATTTTTTGCATTCAATTCCTAAGAATTCTAAATGTCCATTCTCGAAGATTTAAAGGAGATAAACATATTTGATTAAGATCAATTTTAACTAGTGATGGGGAAAGCTTTATACCATTACATTATGTTTTGACAGATTAAGCAGAAATCAGCTAGCTGACTAAATTTGGTTTAATTTTTGGCTTACTGCTTTGACAGTGTAATGCAAAATCAGTTATATGGCATTATCTGATTCTTAATTAAGTCCGATTATCATATCACAAGACACAAAGCAAATCAACATTTTTTTTCAAACAGGTCTAGTTATTTTGAATTTATGGACTGTTTATTCAGAAACAAGTGTTAACATATTTTTTTCAATTCTCTATTGTATTTTGAGTTGTTTTTTTGATTTTATATATTTTAGTATTGAGTGAATTAATTAAGCATCCAGATTGTACTATAGATTTAAGTCTGAATGTCATCCATCTGATGAGAAAATACAACAGGTAACATTCAGTTGATATCTAATTCTTGTTGGGGGGGGGGGGGGGGTGTATTAAAATAATCTAATTTCTGTGCTTTAGATCATAGGGTTTGTCATTGAATCCAGTGCAGGGCTTGGGTTAAAACCAAGGCCTGTCTAACCTTGTCGGTTTTCTCCAGGTCTTCCAGTTTGCTCCCAGTGGTAGCCACCTACAGCAAGCAAATTATTGAAATAAAATGTACCAGTTCCAAAACGACCTAGTGAACATCCATTTCTCCCTCTTGATACCAATCATGAAATTGTAACACGTTGAAGATTAAAGGGAGATAATTCATGGGCTTTGATTGTTCCCCAATCTGATTCAGATATCCTCAATAAAATATTGTTTATATATTAAGGTATGAACAAGACTATGCAGTTAAACTATTACAGAGATATGAGAATTCTACAGAGTTTGGTAAAATAGCTACAGCACATTTAGAGGCCTTGTTATCATGCAAACTTCTCCAACCAGCTAAAGATTTCACAGAACAAATAATCATTGGTTAGTAAATTAACTCAGTTGGGTTACTTCCTGGTAGGGCTTTCACTTTCAAATTTTGCCAGCCAGTCAATTTTTGACCATTGGAATTGAATTTTGCTCAGACTCTTGTGTGTTTCTGTCTACTGTTCTTTGATTTCCAACTGCCAAGGGTTCTTTTATGTGCATACTAATGTATTCATGGTCGAAACATCGATTTTTCTTTGTCAACTCAACAAGTGCCATGCATCCCTGATAAGTGACACCAGGCTTTACAATTTCTGAGGATTCTTCCTGGCCAGCTTCCCCTCATGACTACCTTGACCCCGGAAATTTTATTATTTTTCACTTCAGGTCACAACACAGGAAGAGTTTTAGAATCAAATATTAAGAAACAGTTTCAACGCATATTTTGGGAACAAGCTGCTACAGACGTTGAGGTTAAAGGAATTACCAAATATTTTTTAAAACATTTAATTTTGCAAATTTTATATTTCTTTTTTTAATTACTTTGGATTTTAATGACAAAAAAATCAAACTGTAAATTTATTTCAATAATTCGCCTGCAGGCAGTTGTCTTTAAAAGTGGGAGATAATCCAGAGAACTGGGAGCATTTCATGAGGTTAGTCAGTTTCCAAAATTTTTGGATCATAATTTTGATTGACAAGTCCACAATCTATTTTCAATTTTTTAGTAAAACTAATTGTTAAATTATTTTCAGACTGATAATAAAGATGAAGCTCTACAATGGTATAACTATTCTTTGAGTTTATTTTCACCAAACGAAAGACAGGAGTTTAGCATGGCCAAACTACATAGAAACAGAGCTTCTTGTCTCATTAGTCTAGGCAAATATCATCAGGTATATTGTCGTTAAATACAGATGTCAATAGATCCATCTGATATATTTTATGAATAAAAAAACTGGTTAATTCTGTCTAATAGACGTTTATCGAAGTCTATTGTTAGTGAAATGAAATGAAAGGGTCAGAGGGGGGGGGGGGGTCATCAACCGGGCAGATCAAGACAGGGATACACAATACAGCTGTGTTTCCGCCTACTTTTCATCAAAGCCAGTGTTTTATAAAAGGTATTATATAATTGTTTTGGTCAAAGAGATATTAGGCTATTGGGTGAAGCTGTATTTTTAACCTATCTTGTATGTATGATTTATTTAAATAGGCTGAAGAGATATTGGGTGAAGCTATACGATGTGATGATACTGCTGCTGCCACCTATTATCTTCTATATAAACTGGCTTTACTACAAGAAAACAAAGAAACAGGTCTGTACTATTAGTGACTTAAGCTGCTGATTGTTATTCGGAATGAACGTCTTACTTTTTGCGTTGATCAGGCTAATGAAGACAGGGATACTCTATACAGCATGGTTTGCCTGTACAACAGCACTATGGCCTACTTTACATGCACTGTACCCTGCTATGCCCTGCGTCCTGCACCACTCCAAGGGTGAACTAGCCAGAAAAACCTGGCGGGTTTTCTAGGCCAACACTAGGATCGAACCAGAAACCTCCTGGTTAGCGACCCTTCAGCGCTCCCATTAGTATTTGAGGAATCATGACTCCCTTGCTAACTACAATATTCTGAATGAAGTGTTGGGTAAAATCTTTTCATGGGCCTTTTTTTAATCCGATTGAATCCAATCTGACAGATTATCTGCTATTGATGTTTTGGTTTCTTAATTGTATGAAAAAAGCATGATTGAGTTATTCCTTCAGGGATTCAAATATCACAATATTGTATTTTGCAAGGGATTCAAAATCTGTTAAATGACCATAAGCAGCTTTAAGTATTTTTATTGGCTGTCTTTCATGTGTTTCCTTTATTAATTATCAGTACATTGTGAAATGATCAAGTCTCATACTTTAGTGGACTAAGCGTGTGTAAAATTTTGGTGGGCTTGATCCAAGGATCAAAATCACTACCATAATTCTGTCAATTCTTTATTACACTTAAGTCACAGTGTCATTCTTCTTGAAATAGTAAAACAGATTTAAATTGATGTGTTCTATTAGAAAAAAAACTTAGTTAACATTTTAGCATTTGGTACATGTAAATACCCCAGTTCCATGGTAAAACAATAGTGTCTAATCTTACCAGTATACCCCTGAATTGGTTGTTATTTTTACAGCAATAACAAGTATACAGAAAATGGTGTGTAATATAAAGAATAATGATAATTCTGATCAATCCATAGACACTGGTCTTATCTGTCTTGCAGCTCAGTTAGCTCTCAAGGTAAGCTTTATGGCCCGGGTTCCCATTGCTTCCCCCACTATTGATTCTTGTCTCTTTGACCAACTCTAATTTTTCCCCCTTGAGATTCACAAACTGGAAGTAACAAACCTATCAGCCCAAAATTTCAACATAACCAACCTCTTCACTCTGGTATCCTTCCTTCTCAAAATCCTAAACATTCATTAAGAACTTGACAGAAATGTAGATTCAAACCATATTCTTCAATTCTACTTCACAATGCGAGCAAAAGGGAGAGGGAGAAAATGACTGAACAGAAGTAACAAGGAGGGTCTTTGTCATAGGTGTATATAAAACTACCAGTGCTGGATTTATACTATGTGAGGGTGAGGCCTAGGCTATATAAAGCTTAGTGGACCCAAAGAGTTACTCCAATAGGTCCCACAAAGGGAAATACCTTAAAACTACACTATGATCTCTGAACTATTTTACAGGAGAATAGTCATGGTGTAGGGAGTGTTTCCATGGAAATGTTTTTATATTATAGGAGAATAGTCACGATGTAGCAAGTGTTGCTATGGAATGTTTTATAAACAGTAGTAAAGATAACGGCCAGGTACTGTGTGCTATACGATGTCTGTTAAGGTTACAGCTGTCTCTCACTGAAGATCAAACTCATGAACAGAAACAGGGGTAGGTTTATAGCTCATGAAAAAATAAAATAAAAAGAAATGGCAATTAGCGTCTTACTATACTAACAGGGTTAAGGAATACTGACATACAACATGCAGCATCCTATAAGGGAAAGTTTGCTTTGAGTTCGATGGCTAATACTGTAAATACATATCGACATAGCCATTATGTGGACATGGCTTTTAAGCTAATAAGTTATAATGAACCTGATCCACCTATGTATTTTGTTTCATTGAAAGGGTCCAGAAATTGATCTGAATAGTAAAATCAGTCCAAGATATTCTTGCTATTAGTAAAACAATTTATAATTTCAGACAAGTTATAGAAAAAATACATCAAATGATTCTTTTAGGTAAGCTTCATTTAAACATTTTAACAGGTTTGCAATGTCTACTGCATATGCATATATCTCGATGTGTTTTTTAGGCATCACCAATTTCAAGGTTAGTTCACCAATATCAAGGTTAGTTCTTCAAGTTTTATTCTTTTTTTTCTTTGAGTTTTTCTTGTGCTATGGTTTTGGCCTCCTTTCAAGATATAACAAATCACAAAACTAAATATTATGAATAGCTAAAATACTTTAGACATTGTGAAGTAGGAGTATAATATTATGTATGTTACATTTATAACCCTGTTTAATAAATAATATTATGTATGTTATATTTACAACAGCATATAATGAATAAAACTATGAATATTATATTTATAACAGCATATTATAAATGATATTATGTATGCTATATTAACAACAGCATTTAATAAATGATATTATGTATATTATATTTATAACACCATGTAATGAATAATAATATTATGTATATTATATTTTTAACAGCGTATAATGGAGTATATTATTTATATTTATAACATCATATAATAAATGATATGTATTTAGTATTTATAACAGCGTATAATAAATAATTTTATGTATGTTATATTTATAACCGCATATATAATAAATAATATGTATTTTATATTTCTAACAGCACATAATAAATTATATTATGTATTTTATATTTCTGACAGCGTATAATAAGTTATTGGTAATCCAAGATAAATGTGATGAACAAGAGAAGTTTGTTGTTAAAGATGAAGCATTATGGTTTATGAAGATAGGTAATAATAATAGATTAAATCTATTTCATGCCTTAAATCATTGCTAAACTTTTAACTGTAACTATTATTTATGAACAGGTATAACCATGGATTTTCGATTATTGTTCATACATTTAAATGTGACCATCATGGATTTCAGCCAATATCTTGAATAATAACCCGAGATCCAGGTCTTACCCTACTCTAATTTATTATGTAACTTTTTTGATCCCACACAGCATACCTCAAGATCTATTAAAGATATATTTATGAAACTTTGTTCACACTTTGACCAATGATACTACTTATGTCTTTTGCTATTAGATATTTCTTAGTTAGAACGTTTTTGTAAATCATGTGCAGGATGTTGATGACTGAGTTATCTAGTTTTAGCCTGGAATATGGGACTAAAATATAATTTAGGCTAAACAAAATAAATGTCTTGTTTCTCGGGCAACTGACAGCTGAAACTATAGGGGGGGAGGGCGGGTTATTTTTTTTTTTACCTCATTTCTGGCTAGAGAATGGTGCAAAATAAAATTTGGCTATTGTTGAAAATTGTTGGGGCGGGAGGGCGGCCTTTTTTTTAATGAGAAAGTCATTACTCGTCTACGGTTTTGCTTTCAGTTATATATTATACATACTTAGAACATAAACCCAAAAATCAAGTCTACTCAAACACTGAACACTGACTGAAAGGAAAATAATTTTCCATATTTAATTCACTTAATGTAGCTTACTAATGGTAATGGTGACAACCATAATTAAAATTGGTTTAAAATAAAATTCCGTACGACTATTAATAGACGTCCATAATAACGACAATATTTTAAAGAGTAAGCCTCTGTCAGCATGTGTATCAAAATTAATCATCACGGTAAATGACACTTAGATCTAAATCTAGTATCGCTGGTTTATAATGATTGACCTAATTCCAACCAATGCATGTCACGTGTCATCGGGATTCGGGAAATGACTGTTTCTCAGGATATTCGGTGTGTTTCTCAGGATATTCAGTGTTCTATCTGGGGTTTATATCGAATGACTATTTAAATTTAACTAACAACTGGTCAATTATTATTTTCCGGATTATCAAAAATACCGTTAAATGTGCTAATGACCCAGATTCTGACTAAGGTATGGTGACTATCATCGTATCGTATTCGTAGCCACAAGTTATAATAATTAACCTGTTCTACGATTCATTGTTTTATAAGTAGGATTTTTTCAAACATGGACCGACTGAAGCCGGCAATAATGTGCCGATTAAGATCGAATGATTGAAATACATTGCATTGTTGTCAATGACTTTCGGTGTTTAACACGAATCAAATTCTAGTTCACAAGGGAAGGTAATTAAAATCACGTGATACAAAAATGGAGGTTCTTTCGATATCAATAAAAAAGACCCGTAAATGAGCGTTTGCATCTAAATCAGTTTAATACATTTGAATGGATATTCACGTATGGGGCATGTAGATACATGCGGCATATTCTTTTTATGACTTGCTTATCGATGTTCGGGCGGGCGTTACATATTTTTTATTTTTCATCAAGACTAATAAATAGGCTGCACGCGCAACCAATTTTGCGTGCGGGCGGTGCCCGAGAAACAACTTATTTTATTTGTGTTGCCTTACTATGCAACTGTATTTTTAGCTTGGAATATGGGACTAAAATGTAAAGAAGATCCTAAAAAAACGAAAGAATTTTTCACGCTTTGTTATCAGGTTGGTAAACTGGGAAATATCAGTATTACAAAATGATATTTTCAACTATTCAAATCTACAAGCTTAATTTATTACTCTTGTTCTACTTAAATCTGCCTAGTACAGGTCTTTCTTTAGGCCTGAAATGTTATATAAACTATTAATTAGACAGTTATTAACATGAAAAGACCTTAATCAACTGTCGATGCCATCTTATGTGTCAGATTTTCACTGGATTTGAATCCGATTTGCTGCTCAACGCTCATTAATGATTTAATCCAAAAATGGATAATCATGACTAAGTTTTTTTATTGTACTGACTTTAGTAATGATGATCGAGGCTAGACCTAAAATTCAAACACTAATATCTTGATTTAGAGTGGAGCAATTTGACTGAAATTTTCAACATATTTCCTTTACATTATTTAGTTTCCAACTACTATAGTTAGAGCTGCCAAGTCTTTATCTAATCTTTCATAATGCCCCTTTAATTGGTAATTTGTTCAGAAAGTGAATTGTTCTTTATACTGACCCATATTCAGAATAGCATGTACAAATTATAAAATCCTATTAATGCCTTAGCTGATTTAGTAACATGTAACTTCTATATCAAAATGGTGGAAATGAAATGGGCTTCACCATCTAACTTTATTGCACCAACCAAACTAATGACGACCGGCATATACAATATGCAATATGCTGTGAGTAAAATTTTGCCTAGACAGCTGCGTTTCCACCTACCGTTACTCTTCGTCAGATTTAAACTGCCAAGAGTTCTTTTATGTACACGCCAATGTGTACACAGAACCTTGTTTTTTCTTCTCAATGAAATGACTAGATGCTTTCCCTTGCCCACTAACATGTGGAAACAAGGTTGGAAATTCCTGTGGACTTTTTAGTTAGAAAGTCAGCACCATGGTGGTTAAGACATGATGCCTCCAACTAGTGGTGGATATAAAGAAATTGTCGACTTGTACACCAAGCCAGATTTATATGGATTATTTCTGAGTTCTGCTAAAAGTTAAAAGTACATGTATATGCAAGTATCAATACTTCACATGAAAATTGTTTAAAATTCAACTTTATTTTTTCAGCTTCTATCATTGTGTGAGATAGATATAAACACAGCAAGTCGACAGAAGACCTGTATGATGATGGCTAGTTTTGCTTGTCTACAGTTGGCTAGACATATTAGTAATGATGATGAAAGGGTATGTCTTGATACTATACCATATATAGTATGGTTTAATGTCTGTGTGTAATTTGCATTTTTCGCAAAATTTACCCAAGTTAATCCATATTAGATTATCTCCCATTTAATTAAGAAAACAAAATCAAAGCATGGACAGAGTACATTAAAAAAAACAAGGTCCGATGTATTGGCAGGTACATAAGACCCATTGGCAGTTGCGATTTGACGAAGAGTAGGCAGAAACACCACTGCCTGGGCAGAATTCACCTCAGGACACATGGTACGGCATATCCTTGTATTCATTAACCCGGTTGATGCAGAAATGTAGGATGTTAAACCCCATTTTATTTTGTACATTTAATGTTTATATATAAATAAATGTTTGTATGATGTTTTGTATATAAAGAAATGCTTGTATGAAGAATGTTTACATCATGTGAATGAATATAGACAACAAACACAGAGAGCTGATACACTCTGGGCAACAACTGGTAAGTAAAACCACTATTATTTTTCTCATGTTTTAGATGTATCGTATTTTACAGGGTATAGATCCACAAGGGGTATAAGTCGAATCGTCATATTTTACTGTTTTTCTTACCTCCGTCCATAGATAAATCGAAACGGTATATAAGACAAATGTTTTTCCATTCATTTCGGGTAGTAATCTTTCATCAAATTACGGGAGTGTTATCCTAGTCTTTATGATCATTATTTCAATGTTGGTTATATTTTTTTTTTTTTTAAATTAAACAAACTATATATGTTTTAAAACTCTGACAAGTAAATGTTTTGGAATAACAATAGGAAAGTCTGAACAATGTGAGTTGACTTTGCTGTGAGCATGCTATTATTTTAATATTTAGCAGAGGATGATGTCACTCAACATTGTACTTCATAGATGAAAGTTACAGAGAAAAAACATTTTTTGATATCATTTTTTTTTACCTTCATCCATGTGGAATATAAAGTATCGACTTATACCCTGAAAAATACAGTATTATCTCTTTTAGTCCATGATTCAATATATTTACCTTAGCTTGTTGGCTACAATCATAGCAGAAGAAGAATCCAAGACTTATTATAAGGAATTAGTAAATAAATTGGTGCAATTCAGTCACAGTGGCTTTGTGAATATGGCACTGGTTCACTAACCAGGAACTCCCGAGTTTAGATCCCAGTGTTTTCACAGAAAATTCCTCTGGTTTTACCTTGCCGGTGGTGGAAGACGAAAGGGGGAGGGCAATGCATCTAGTCTTTAGATGGGATGAAAATCCTGAGGGTGTTTCTACCAGTATTCCTTACATAGTTTTGTTGATATATTTTCAGATTGTAATAATAAGGACTATTCTGACATATTGTTGTTATTATGTGAGTTTGAATCTAGAGTTAAACTTGATGATCCACAGATAGAACAACTTCTAGATAAAATCTTATCCTTACCACAACCAGATCCTAAAACATTTGAAATCATTGCTAGTAGGTTGTTTACTCTTAATTTAGATTTCATATTCTGTTCATAATCAAGCATAATCATCTGAACATTGCCGCTCTGCAGAGAATATGGTGATATTTTGAGAATGGCAGTTAGGCTACACCAACTTAAATTTTTGTTCTTCAGGAACAACTATTAGAAATTTGCTTCTTGTGTGACAAAGGGTTCTATAACTTTATCAAATTGAACGATTATTTATATACAGTGAACTTATTGACCTTAAGCTGGTTTTGATAATACATGTATATGTTATTATCTTTTCAACTCTACAAAGAATTACAGAATTAATTAATCCCACGTGTATAACCTGGCCATTGTCTTAAAATGAAATAGGTATGTGGTCAGCTATACATACAAAATGACATGGTAGATGTTCCTGATGTAAATAAATCATATATTTACGAAACTGATCTCTGTTATCACTACTAAAATAGTGTTACACTTGTAGCTTCTTTTTTGGTCACCTTTATTTTGCATAATGTTCTCATTGTTTAACAGGACTAATGACTATTTATTAAGAACCTGAAGAACTGATCATTAAATTGCTTTGGCCAGAATAAGGAAATGTAATTGTACAGTCTAAATCAAACAAAATTCAAATGGCACCTAAAAAAACAAGACCTGTCACCATTTGGATCACCAGTATTTTTCAGGTCAATTGACTAAAATCTGCATTAAATCTCTCATGCCCATTAGAAATATACTCTTCAAAAAAAGTAGGGGATATTCTGAAACAATACAAAACTCTGCTGATTTTATTAGAGGTAACTAGTGTATGTCAATAACAGGCCAATTGCCTACACATGAACATAAACAGTTCATATGGACGGCTTATCTGGCGGCCCCATTTCACTGGCGAAGAGATACACTGTCAAAAGTGAAAATGGACGTTTTTATACGCCCACATTTTCATGTGGACGTATTATGCCGTCGCCCCTGTCCGTCCGTCCGTCCACAATTTGTTTGTGGACACTCTAGAGGTCACAATTCTTATCCGATTTTGACGAAACTTGAAATATAGGTTTATCTCCAAAAGATCTCGGCTGCGTTCTATATTGGCATGTATGGGATCGAAACTTAATGTATTATGGCCCCTGTTAGTACGAAAAATCACGTTTTTAGCTTGTGGACCCTATAGAGGTCACAATTTTTATCCGATTTTGTTGAAACTTGAAATGTAAGTTTATAAACCAATGATCTCGGTTCCTTTCGATATTCGTGCATATCGGACCATAACTTCCTGAATTATGGCCCCTGATAGTACGAAAAATCACGTTTTTAGCTTGTGGACCCTATAGAGGTCATAATTTTTATCCGATTTAAAAAACCATATTATTATATCACCGTTACACCCTAAGGACGGCTGAGTTTGAATTTCGTGAAAATCAGCCCAAAATTGACATACAAAATGGCCGCCGTTCTCAAATAGCGTAAAAATATGGTATATCAAGGTTGTGGACCCTATAGAGGTCACAATTTTTATCCGATTTTGTTAAAACTTGAAATGTAAGTTTATAACCCAAAGATCTCGGTTCCTTTCGATATTCGCGCATATCGGACCGTAATTTCCTGAATTATGGCCCCTGATTGTACGAAAAATCGCGTTTTTAGCTTGTGGACCCTATAGAGGTCATAATTTTTATCCGATTTAAAAAAAACCTAGTATTATATCACCGTTACACCCTAAGGATGGCTGAGTTCGAATTTTGTGAAAATCGGCCCAAAATTGACAGACAAAATGGCCGCCGTTCGTTCTCAAATAGCGTAAAAATATGGTATATCAAGGTCGTGGACCTTATAGACGTCACAATTTTTATCCGATTTTGTTGAAACTTGAAATGTACGTTTATAACCCAAAGATCTTGGTTCCTTTCGATATTCACGCATATCGGACCGTAACTTCCTGAATTATGGCCCCTGATTGTACGAAAAATCGTGTTTTTAGCTTGTGGGCCCTATAGAGGTCATAATTTTTATTCAATTTAAAAAACTGTATTATTATATCACTGTTACACCCTAAGGACGACTAAATTCGAATTTCATGAAAATCAACCCAAAATTGACAGACAAAATGGCCGCCGTTCGTTCTCAAATAGCGTAAAAATATGGTATATCAAGGTTGTGGACCCTATAGAGGTCACAATTTTTATCCGATTTTGTTGAAACTTGAAATGTAAGTTTATAACACAAAGATCTCAGTTCCTTTCGATATTCGTGCATATTGAATTGTAATTTCCTGAATTATGGCCCTTGATAGTAGGAAAAATCACTTTCTTGTTAGCTTGTTCTCTATCCATCTCTCGAAAATGTGGGCTATCCTGCCTGGCAGCCGCTGGTTGATTTTTGTCTTAATAATGAGTAAATGCGCCACCAATCCTCAGACATTCAGCAATTCGTTGTGGCATACTCCTAATCAACCGTCCAATCACGATTTGGGGCAATCTGACCCACTCCTCTTGCAGTGTTGTTGGTTGAAGTTGACGTCGACGAACACGTCTCCCGATCATGTCCCAGACATGCTCTATAGGGGAAAGGTAAGGACTCATGGCTGGCCAAGGCATATGGACAACATGGTGACGTTGGAGGTAGTCATTCACGACACGAGCGCGGTGGGCATATGCATTATCATCTTGAAAGATGAAACGTCGACCTGCACGTTGAGCAAAGGGCAGAACTATCGGTGCCAGGATGTGGTCACGGTAGTACGCACCAGTGACCCTTCCTTGAATAATATGCAAGTCCGTTCTGCCAGTCATGGTGATTCCTCCCCACACCATAACAGACCCACGCCCGAATCTGTCATGCTGTCTAACGTTAGCGTGACGCTCATTTATACGCCTCTAAACGCGAGCACACCTATCGGTGAAATCCAGAGTAAATCTGGACTCATCTGGGAACATTACACGTGCCCATTGACGATTACCACAATTTCTACGCTGCCTACACCATTGACGGCTGTTTACCATGTGCTGGCGAGTTAATGGAGGCACAACACGCGGTCATCGCGCTTGCAAATGGGCTGCATGTAGCCGATTTTTAATCGTTTGGGGTGTAACTCGAATTCCTATAACTTGGTACAAGTTTACAGAAAGCTGATTGGCCGTTTGTCCTCGATTTTGCAGGACCTGTGTTCGAATGTATCGATCCTGGGCTTGTGTAGTGGCTCTAGGACGACCTGAACGTAGACGTTCATCAAGCTGAAGACATCTCAAGCAAAGATATGCTAAACAGTAAATCTTATGCAAGAACCGATAGGAAAGCAAACATGGATAGGATAAACCAGCACGCGGCAGTTTTCATCAACCCTTCCCACATGTATGGCGCTATTGCTTGTCGCATGTGCAGCTCAGTGGTTCTGTTGCGGGCCATAAGTTCTGCATCTGTGAACATACTCTAAAAGCATGTCAAGTGTCTATGACTATTTATCATATCACAACCTGCATAGGTATTTGCATTTCAATATCCCCTACTTTTTTTTTGAAGAGTATATATAGGCAAATATGTACAGAGTGAGGAACAGTGCCTATATAAGTACATTGATTTGTATAATTTCAGCCTTGTCAATCGAGGCTCCAGCTAATAATAAAAATATCAGTATACGAGCTTTGAAAGTGGCGATTAGAACCCATTTACAATCATCTCAACCAGACTATGACCGATGTAGGTAAGTCATTCATATCTGAACCAGACTATGAGGTAAGATATCTCATATCTAAATCAGACTATGACCAGGGCTGTCGGTAATTTTTCACAGATGATTAGCAGCACTGCTAATCAAAAAGTCCAATTTTGCCAAATTTGATTAGCAAATTTAAAAATTGATTAGCACTTTTTCAATTTCAACATACAACGCCTAAATAACAAGATTATTTTAATTTTAATTGATAACAAATGATTAGATTTCATTCTTAAGATTTTTTAGAATTTTAGCACTTCTACAGGTAGCTGTGAACATTTCTGAATGAATGTAGACTTTTGTTAGGCCTTATGTCTGAAGCCAATTCTTGGCAGTGGCTTCTTATTTCTTCGTTAGAAAACAATTTCGTCTGCTTTTTATCGTGTGTTATTATTTTTGTTCAATTGGAAGCACGCAGTATTTTACGAATAATCTCGATTAACTAGACGCACGCGATATACACAATAATAGTTTACGGGAATTCTTACATTGATTTCTCATTTTACAATACGTTTACACGTATTTATTTTTTATATTTTATTTACAATACGTGGGGGATACACTGAATTTATTTTTTTTTTCAAATTGAATACTGATATAATTACTCGAAATTGACATGTCTCGCAACATGAGTGGTACTACTTGATTTCCTATTTCCAGTTTAATAGTCCCGATTCATAGAGTTATGTCCCTGTATTATATAGTATAATGAATTGAGTCTGGGTAGTTCGAGAAGAAAATGTCACACGGAGAATTACGTTTTGTTTATAAAATTTATTTGATATTTTATACACGTTGAAAGTGTTGAGAAATGTGGATAAATCTTTGTGTCAATATCCAAAATGACAGGCATATTAATGATTCGCAGTTACTGCGAATCAAAAACGTTAGATTTTAATTTTTGATTAGCAACGGACAAAATATGTATCGCAAATTGCGCTGCGATACTGGTTGTCGGCAGCCCTGACTATGACAGATGTAGATAAGATATCCCATATCTCAACTAGACTTTGACCCTATGGATTAATCAATCAGCATTGGCGTTTCTAGTGGTGTCCTACATGGAGCGGAATTTCCCCCATAATTCTAACTTCTAACCTAGTTCTGCGTATGCTAATATGCTTACCCTAATATGCTTACTTCTATGCATGTAACTTCTTACTGACACATGTTAAATTGGCTATTTACACATGTACAAATGCTAATTTATATGACTTATTTTTTTAAATATTGCAGTTAGAATTTGTATTTCGTTCAATTTCCATAATTAATTTTAATTTATTGTAGGCAGTTCAGCTTCGTTAACATTTTGACATGTTACAAATGTTTCGTGGTAAAGGCGCCATAATTCTAAGCTCATTTTGGTAACAGACGGCTCTGTTTACAATTGTATGGTGGCTCATTGGGAACATGAACAATTTACCTGACAGACATGACAACATTTTTTGTCAAAAATAATAAAAATATTTTACCTACATGTTACAAATGTTTCGCGGTAAAGGCGCCATAATTCTAAGCTCATTTTGGTAACAGACGGCTCTGTTTACAATTGTATGGTGGCTCATTGGGAACATGAACAATTTACCCGACAGACATGACAACATTTTTTGTCAAAAATAATAAAAATATTTTACCTACAAAAGCAAACTATTTTAAACTATTTTCGATAAATAAATAGGCTATTTTATCGTGCATTTCCACAAACAATTAACTGTCGATTGTTTTGACCTATTTGTTTTCTAAAAGAATAATATATACGTCATGCATGAAATTGAATACATGAATATAAATCGGTCATGCTTAGTTTAGCTTGTCTCTTCCCCTCAAAAAATTATGAAATATTTTACGCACACAAATAAAGTATTTATGATATCATTGAAGTAATCTATATCGGGCCAGGCTTCCAAATCATATGCATTACTAGGTTAGGAGTTAGAATTATGGGGGAAATTCCGCTCCATATACTACAGTTCCGTGCATGGCACGCCAAGAAATCGCCGTAACAGACTGTTTCGTTGGCTTAGCCCGCACTTCAACCAAAACGCCAATAATATAACAACTCTTCCAGATCCTAGTGTAGTAAAGAAGTAAAGCGAAATTTTGAACTATAAAAAACGAAACAAAATAGGATCTGTGTTTTAATCAGATTGAAGTTATCTTTTGCCACTGCATTCTAAATTATAAAGTCTCGGAAACACATTTGTGCATAAGATACAATGGCAGAATAAATTATCTGTACTGTATTGGTCGGGAAAATATTTCATATTATATCATTTTTAGCGTAAATAAATATAGACGGGATGTGAGAAAGGAATTCCAGAGGGCGTTACATGTCCGCCGCACGTGGTTCATGCAATATATATAATGTCATGCACAGGTGTGAAGTCGTGTTTTGATAATCAATTTTCAGTAATTATGGCAGATATTTTAGAATCAGATTTCAACACCTCAATGCAATGGTGAAGTAGGCCTATTCATTTAAAACACAAGTTTGGTACCATGATACTTGTATTTTGCGGAATTCACATGGATACAGATTATAGAATTGCACGAATCGCGGGCTTGCAACAATTTTTAGGCCTTCCGATTTCGAAGAAGTAAAACGGATTCATATTACGATATTCATAAGGGTGTTTGTGGTGACCTAATTCTGTAATAAATGAAAACATTAAAACGCTGTGCTTATAGTTATTTATTATTCCCAATTTCACGAATTTTGAACCCAGCAGTAGTTAAAACCGATGTCTATACTTAATGTTACTAGTGTTATAATTAATTACAGTAAAGATATCCACAGTTTAATACAGATGTCTATCTATATGTAATGTTATGTTATGATTACAGTAAAGATATCTACCGTTTAATACAGATATCTATCTATATGTAATATGTTACTAGTGTTATGATTACAATAAAGATATCCACAGTTTAATACAGATGTCTATCTATATGTAATATGTTACTAGTGTTCTGATTACAGTAAAGATATCTACAGTTTAAAACAGATGTCTATTATATAATGTTACTAATTGCAGTAAAGATATCCACAGTTTAATACAGATGTCTATATGTAATGTTACTAGTGATAACACAGTTAAAGAGGAAGTCATGAATTATTACAAGGAAACCTGTGATGTCATAGAGAATAGAGCTAAGGTATGCATTATCAAAGTTCACACTGGAATGTGCAAAAACTTTTAAGATGGCAGTATTTTCACTGGTTGATCTTCAGTTATTTACTCTCAAAATACATAGCTAGGACGTTGAAAAATTAACCCAACACTAAGTACATTCTTCAGTACAAAGTCCCAAAAATCTATTCTTAATAATAACTGTTGGACTGCATATACCACACAAACAAAACCGAAAAGACAAACTTACAGGCAAGACACACACTATACAGACATTGCAAGCAATAAACAACAAATATCAAATCAAGGTGATACAATGTTTTTTAAAATGAAATGTCATCAAGCCAAACAATTGTGATGATTTCTTAATCATTTCACAGAAGAATCAGGAGTCATGAATCAGTCAGTAGCCAAATCTAAAAATAATATGACTTGAATTATTAATTACCATAGCATTCGGAATATTTTTTATAGGATTTTATAGCATATCTTCCTCCATTTCTAATAAGTTAAAAATTTCTCTGCGTGTTAAAACATCTGCCGTCATATCATCAGATTGTAGGTCTCGTTTACCACCAACAGGGGCATTTGAGCTGGGATTTAAAGCTCTGTATAGTCTTCTCCCCCATCGTACGCCTTCTACTGGTAAAATGAGACAGAGGACTAGTGCTGCAATGACTAAATTCTTCATTCTGTAAATAAAATCATTATAAGGTCATACTACAGAAATACTGATTCGCAGAAAATCGTTCCATAAAAATGTGGGAGAAAGTTCTTTATTTTGTCTAAAGGATCGTGTGAATAAATGACTTCACATATCAGATTTCCAAGCAAGGAAATAAGGCACCTGTAACAGACATTGTTAAGCACAAATTCTGGCTTCGTGAGACACAATCACTGTGGTGCCTCTCATTTTTTCTGGCACTGATTTGTCGTCACCCCTGGGCGTCCGTCTGGAAGTCTGATGAACCGTCCGTCCACAATTGTTTGTGGACACTCTACAGGTCACAATTTTTATCCGATTTCAACAAAACCTGAAATATAGATTTATCTCCCTAAGATCTCGGTTCCTTTCGATATTGACATGTATCGAACCATAACTTCTTGGATTATGGCCCCTGATTGTACAAAAAATCGCGTTTTTAGCTTGTGGACCTTATACATATTTATAACCCAAAGATCTTGGTTCTTTTCGATATTTGCGTTTTTAGCTTGTGGTCCCTCTGTAGGTCACAATTATTATCCGATTTAAAAAAACATGTGAATATATCACCGTTACACCATTATGATGGTTGAGTTCGAATTTCGTGAAAATCGGACCAAAACTGACGGACAAAATGGCCACTCCTTGTATAACGCAAATGGTGTAAATATGTGGTACATCAAGGTTGTAGACCCTCTAGAGGCCACAATTTTTTCCAATTTTGATGCAACCTTAAAATTAATGCTTATATCACAAAGGTCTTGGTTCCTTTCGATATTCGCGCATATCAGATCGTAACTTCCTGAATTATGGCCCTTGATCTGAATTATGGCCCTTGATCGTATGAAAAATTGCGTTTTAAGCTTGTGGTCCCTCTAGACTTAACAATTTTTATCCAATTTAAACAAAATGTTTGAATATATGACCATTACACCCTAATGATGGTTGAGTTCGAATTTTCGTGAGAATCGGACTAAAACTGCCGGACAAAATGGACGCCCCTCGTACACTTATAGTATAAAACATATGGTATATCAAGGTTGTGGACTCTCTAGAGGTCACAATTTTCACCCAATTTGGACGAAACTTGAAATACATGTTTATAACCCAAAGATCTTGGTTCCTTTTGATATTCACGCATATCGGATCGTAACTTCCTGAATTATGGCCCCTGATTGTATAAAAAAAAATCACGTTTTTAGCTTGTGGTCCCTCAAGAGGTCACAATTATTATCTAATTTTAAAAAAAAAAACGTTTGAATATGTCACCGTTACACCGTATTGGTGGTTGAGTTTGAATTTCATGGAAATCGGACCAAAACTGCCAGACAAAATCAAAATGGCCGCCCTACCCAAATAGTGTAAACATCTGTTATATCAAGGTTGTGGACCCTCTAGAGGTCACAATTTTGATCCGATTTTAATGAAACTTGAAATGCATGTTTATAACCCATAGATCTTGGTTCCTGTACCTTCCTGAATTATGGCCCTTGATGTTACGAAAAATCGCTTTTTGTTTAGCTTGTTCTCTATCCATCTCTTGAAAAATGTGGGCGTATCCTGCCTGGCAGCCACTGGTTCTGAGTAGCTGTCACTATATTCTGTCTTTTGTTAGAAATTTAAATAAAATTCTAAACAAATTGTTTAAAATTAAGTAAGTGTTTAACATCTAATTTATAGAATTTTAATATTTGAACAGCTGAAGTTAATTCGATTCCAGAAATATAAGTATCATTCAAAGTTATCTCACCTTATTTTTAGAGATTTTCCTGCCATTTTTTGGTTTTTGTTCCGCCGTTTTCAGCTCATTTTCTGATCCTTCCCATTTTTAAACGGCTTGATCAATTTTTCTGGAACTGGAACTTAGATGTAAAAAAAAGTATGTTTTGACTGATTTGAATAATTATTTTTTTCTTTTTGAGATTCTTTTTATAATCCATAACATGTGAAAGAAAGGTACAATGAATATGAAGCTTACATATCTGCCTGACAGCTCTTGGACAATTCGTCCCGAAACAATTCGTCACCAAGGACTATCCATCCTTGGACAGTTCGTCCATGGACTATATATTAGTTCCCTTAAGACTATTCATACCCTAAGGCTAATCGACCCCATACAACTTGTCCCCAAGGACAATTCGTCCCCTAGGGTAATTCATCCCTTAGGACAATTTGTCGCCGGACAACAATATTTACTTTTTATCCTAAATCTCAGTTTTGATGCTAGTTTTGCTTCGTTTTACATTTAGTATTAAATCTAGACCTTAACTTAATGGTTCCTGAAGTGATAATTAATAATTCATATGGTTAAATGTTTTCCCACTAAGGATTTAATTGATCTATGATTGAAAATTAAAATGATTGGGGATCAACAGAAAGCACGCACCCCCCATTTCCACCGAAGGGTCTCACAATTGGCAGAAAATAGTAGTCTTCAACCGGGAAAAGGGGAACTACTAATTTCTTCCGCCATTTGGCCTTTATATTTTTTTAACAACCCGGGGACGAATAGTCCTAGGGAACAACTTGTCTGGGGATGAATTGTCCTCGTGGGCAAATTATCTGGGGTCAAATAATCCTAGGGGATGAATTGTCCAGGGACAAATTGGTGGGGTACGAATAGTCCAAGGAGACGAATTGTCTCTGGACAATTGTCCTGTACCCCAGCCTCACAGATCTAGTTATTATTATTGTTCATTTTTTTAAAATATAAAATTGGTATAATTCCTTTTAAATTGAACTGTGCAATAAGACATGAAATGAAATAGGGTTTAACGTCGTACCTTTATGGACCAGCCGGGCTAATGAGAATTACAGATATAAGGTTTTATTTACTTACCCTCTCTAATGGGTATGTCAGACCTTTGGTTTTTGGCCAACGAGGGATAGATCCCTGGTTAGTGAACTTCAACGCTGAGCTACAGTGGCCCCTGTGAAAAAAGAAATGAAATGAAATGGAGGTTAACGTCCTACTGTTCTGCTCCTAACCTGGGCTAATGAAGACGGGCATACGCCATACAGTGTGCTATGAGGGAAATTTTGCCCGGACAGCGGCACTACGGCCTACTCTTATATCGAATTCCAACTGCCAAGGGATCTTTTACGTGCACGCCAATGTGTACACGGGACCTCGGTTTTTACTCCCATCCGAACGACTAGACAGCCTTCCTTGTCAGCCCCTCCGTCCTGCATCACTGACAAGGGAGAACCACGCCGGAAAATCTGGATGAACTTTCTCGGCCAATGCAGGGATCGAACACCCGACCTCCAGGCCAGCGAGCTATAAGATTAAGCTGTGAAATATAAGATTTAGACTAAAAAGTGGGGGAGGGAATTGCTGAATGTTTGGCGTGTGCGTGTTGTATCAAATGGTCTGTCATTGAGTTAACTGGTGTGGTTGTTGTACGTGACAATGAGTAGGTTCACCGTCCAAATTCGTGGGTTTTTTCCCTGCACCTCCCACTGCTAAAGACCCCCACGCGCAAGCGAATTATTGAAATAAAATAGAACCATATGTTAGTCCTGAAATGACCTGGTTTGTGTTGGGTCGGCATTAACCCCCCCCACCCCCCCATCCTAATAGATCGAAAAAATGCAGCAACTCCAAGTTTCAACTTCGTATTTTGCAATTTAGAGAATCTATAGATTGGAATTGATTGTTTTCAAATGTTTTTGTTTTTCAGGAAGCTTATCCTGAAATGGAAATTCTGTGGTTAATGACGAAAGCGTGGAACTGCGGAATACATTTCTATAGGTTTGATATTCCTTTAGTATGTTTACGTCCTGGTACTTGCAAAAACAATGATGGTTCTGCATTAATCCTTCTGTGATAAGATACAATTCAGAAAGTCTTCACGTGACTTGCCACTTGGGGGAAAAAACCCATTTGACTTCATTCCAGATTACGTCTATTATACATGTATTATTAATTAAAGATGTGGTAAAAATATTATTTACAGTTGTGATAATTATGTATGTAAATTCATCTTCATTCGTCCGGATTTGTCCAGCTGGGGTAGAAAAGTAGGTTGTTAAACCCTATTTCATTCATTATTAATTATAGGTGACAATTATATAACTATTATTAATTACAGGTGTGATAATTATACAGAAGCTGAAAGATGGTGTGGTATGGCTTTACATCTTCTCTCACATTTAACCACCATTAAAAATAATTATGAAGAAAAGGTTAGATATAATGGAGTTCAATTTCTAGTCAACACAATAATTTAGCCATTTTGGTTACCTATTCAATGCAAAGTAAGAACATTTCAAACCGAGTTCACTCGGTTTGCCAAAAATTATCTGAACACAGTCAAGGCTAGAGTTTTTAACAGATTTATTTCAAATTTAGTATGAAGCATTTCGGTTATAAGAGAACAAACGCTATCAATGTTCAGGATTCCATGACCTTTTCCCTATGAATCATGAAGCATTCGAACAATGGGAGGATTTTCCTTGTTCTTCATTTATCTCTGGGAATGTGTGGGTGTATCTTGTATGGAAACTGCTAGTTTATTTTAACATAGCCAACTGGACATCAGCTGTGTAGAAAATCAGAATCATTTAGACAATACAAAATAAGGATATAATTTTCATTACACTATAACTTTAGCATTGACCTTAGATTCAATGTTTTCCAAAAATATTTTTAATTTCAGATGAATACAGTTTATGGTGAAATATTAGAAAACCTTGATAAAGCAAAACCTCTAGCATCATTAGAAGAATAGTTTTGGTACACAAAATTATGCTTCTGATCTTATTCTCTCTACATAATAGAGAAATGAGGGGTCATCAGAATGTGTGGTACTTGTGTAATGTTTACTAAATTATTTGTTATGTTTGAATAGAACTGAGTTCCAGATAGCGATTTTGCATATTCTTTTCTAGTTAAATGGATAATCAAAGTATTCAAAAGGTTTTGCAGCATTAATTGGTACTGATAGAATTGATTTGATGCTGACCAATCATGTTCCTCTACTGAATATTTGAACCTTTGACCATTCATCAAAATTCCCAGTAGGAGGAAATAATCCACAAGGTTGGACAGGCAACCCTACTCCTTGTCACGTACAAGCGGGGAATTGAAACCATGCCAGTTGAGTCAATGACAGACCTTATGATACAACGTGCATGCGCTAACCATTCGGTCATCCACCCACTGGCAAGGATAAAGTGTTTTGTTATGATGGGATGAAAAATAAGTCCCATCCATGTACTTGTTACTGTGTATGTAAAGAGCCCATGATAGTTGGATGTTGCTGTCTGGGCGAAATGTCCTTCAAAGCACAAGATAAAATTGTGTAAACAACCTCCTCAAAAAAAAAACAGAATGAAATATTGGTTTTATTTTAATTAAGTTATAATCTAGAAATGGATAGTGAGTATTGACTGTAGAGCAGCATATCACATATTCGTGTTATAACAAGAATGGTTTACATTTAGGTTAACCATCAATTGTAATAAATACTATATGAACCAGGAACAGAGCATGACATCGTCGCAGCCCTCTCTGAATTGTGACATATCAACAATTGGCAGAGCCATAGCTTTCTCAAGCAACAATAATATTACCAAGTATTATGCAACCAGTTTCTGGTTAAAAAATATAAAGTCTGAATGTACAATATCACAGATTTTCAATATATAGTAAAAGATACTGATGGACAGAGTATATATTGGGATGAATAACAGGACATTATCAAATAATAAAAATATTAGTTACAATTAGATGACAATACAAATATACGAAAAACATTCCATAACTACATCCATAGGGCCTGTGCATTTAACAGAAAATTAAAGAAAGCATACAGCCACCTACAGTTTAGTTTTAAAAAAAAAATGTAAAATTTCGATTTACAAAACAAATTGAATCAATCGATGGCTTTGGTTACAATAAATAATGCTGATTATCAAAACAGTTATCAAATAATTTATCCCCGTTTTCAGAAACAGATTTTGTTTCGCTCGGGGCTTTCCTTTTAGTCTCAACCAGCTGGATAACCTAACTGTCAGTCAATTTTATATGCCATATAATTAGAGATTAACCTTTAAATACAGTTAAATTTATGGGTTTAATGTCAAAACAATTTAGGATATTGCCCAAAATAATCATATTTTTGGGAAAAATGTCTTACAAATCCAAGTTAAATAAAATAGGTCAAAAGCTGACCGGCTGTCAAACATTTAAAGTGTCGGCCCCTGTCTCGCTATCTGTAGATATTTGATATAAAAAAAAAAATGCTGGATATACCACTGAAAGGCCAGGCAAATGTTTCGATGTTATTAGTACGTACCAAGAATCAAACGATAGGGATCAGCAGATCGTGAGTATTTCCAAACTTTTTCAATCAATTAGTATAAAAATAACATTGATAAAAAAAAACATGTACAACAACTTTATAAAGGAATCATTAATTAGTTTTTCCAGCGCGTAGGTAGTTATTCCAATTGGTACTCAAAACTTTTGGTTCCTGAAAAATAAAAACAAACAAAAACATAATATATTTAACTGTAGATTAATAATTTAAGGGGAGTGTTGGTGTCCCATAGTAATTTCACTCATATAGTCAGAGCAAGTCTCATACCGCCAGAGCAGGTCCCATATAGCCTGACATGTCTCGTTAGCTAGAACTGGTCCCATATAACCTGACGTGTCTTACATAGGCAGAACTGGTCACATATGGTGACATGGATCTTATATAGCCCAAACAGGCCATGTAGTGTCACATGTCTGGTTTAGTCAGAGCAGGTAACCTAGAGTGTGACATGTGTCTTGTATAGAGCCAAAGCAGGTAACCTAGAGTGTGACATATGACTTGTATAGCCAGTGCAGGTCACCTAAAGTGTGAGACAACTCTTTGAATTAATATTACATAAACTTACAACAACTCGACACTGTGCCATGACTTCTGTCATCGTTAATGGAAGAGGTGCAGACGGTTTCTCCATTATCATTTTCATCTTATTTTCCATTGGTGTATCGCTGAATTATACAATTTTTTTTTAAAAAATCATTTTGTGATAAATTTAAATGAAATGGTTTTAACATGCTACTTTTCTGGACCAACTGGGCAACGCCATGCACTGTGGAGACATTTGCCAGGTTCCTGTCTTCAACAGCCCAGACAGTGCAGAAAAGTAGAGCATTAAACTCCATTTCATTTTGCCTGGACCATAGTGACTCTGCCTACTCTTCTATATGATGAATGAAAGTTGCCTGCCCAAATCTATCGAAAGCCATCAATTTTAAACCAATCCTTTTATTCAACAAGATAAGCCTTATCAAAGACTGGTAAGTAGCTGATATTTATGAACAGGTCAAATTTAAGCTGGCTTTTATTGATCACCTCTTTTTATAAACCAGATTAACATCTGTGTGGCATATACAATGTATATATATAATTATTTATCTATAGGTCACAAGTCTATGAATTACAACTACTGTTTATTACCAAATGTCTAGGATTCTCTAGTATTTATCAAGCAATGTATTCCATAAAATTGTGATTTGTGTATTGCCAGTTGAATTACTAAATGTCGTTGAGGCAATCTTTATATATCTTTCTATCTACGAGAACAAGGATGCTGAGGCGCCAGATTTAAATGCCTTACCAGAATGCTTTAGGTGATTCATCTTCCTCTTCTATTGGTGATGTCGATAGTTGAGAAGTTTCACTACTACCACGACTAGGTATATCTGGTAACACAGGCAACTGATGGGACATCTCCACTGCCCACTGATCACTAGAGAGAGGAGGGGAGGGAATACGACGAGGAGACTTGTTGTAATAATAATCAGATATCTGTTAAAATAGACAATACATAAGTGAAATAAATTAGAAAATGGTATCCGATGTAAGATGTTCTCGAAAAGGGTTTTGTGTACATTCAAACTAGTTCAATCTCAGAATAACAAATATATCAGTATAATATTTCATTCAGTCGGAAGGGGGAAGAACATGGAGAGAACCCAGTAGTATGAAAAACCAGGAGCAATACGGAGAACCTGGGAAGTAACTGAATGGTTGGGCTGGTAACTCTAAATTTTGTCGAACACAATCAATGCATCAATTTATTCAAAGTCAAACACATAATGTGACCTCATATCAAGACAACCAGATTGATCCAAAACTAATATGATCATTTTCAAGCCAAAATTATTTTAATAAGTATTGTTGTGATGCTTAGTGTATCTAATTTTTACATAAATCAAAATGAATATAGACCTACTTACCAAATCTGATAAATCGGGACCTTGTAAAAACATTGTTAAATCTTCATGCTTATCTAATATCCTACAGTTATAACAAATATATTATTATAAATCACCATTCATTCTTTATAATACTTTTTAAAACACAACAGCCTTATTAATAAGAAATTAAACCAAAACATATTTTAAGAATGCAGCGTTTCGATTAGGCAAGAGGTAAATTGTGTAGTAGAATATTAAACTCAGACACTGGTTCAAAAACTTAAAAAGAAAGAATTTTAGGGATGGAAAATAGGCACATCAGTCGGCCCCATCTAATAAGGACTAAATTAATCAGTAACCATTTTTCTACAAGATACACACAGTAAAAACCTACATATAACATGCATTCCCCCTGGACGAGGGTTTGCCTGTTATTGAAGGGAATAAAACGAAAAATAATCTATTTTTACCAGATCCACTCATTAATTAACTAACAATGAGTTAATTTTTTTCATATGTAACATTGTGAGTCAACAATTATATCCTGTATATGCCATTCCCTTGCCTAAAAGACTGTGGCTGTTAGGTATTGGCATTCAGTTGAAATTAGGTTTTCCACTGAATGTTAGTTTATCTTGAACAATTAACTGGTTGTTCAAGTGATAATTTTCTAACTTACCTAGCTGCTAGAGCATGATTGGCCATTGCCAGTTGATGCATTTTATGTAATTTCCCCATGAATTTCTTTCTTTGTTTTTCTACAGCTTTTAATTGAACTCTTTTACTGGTCTGTAAAGCAAAACATTACTCTGAAAGTCATTTGGGGGTTTGAGGAATTGCTTGTAATTCAATTCCATTCAATATTTACAAAGATATGATGAATTCAAAATTCGACACCCTCTGCAGACAAAAAAAACAGGATATGATCAAAAGCCAGTACCACCTCTTTCTGAAATATGACTGTGACCAAGTTATCATTTTATAGCTCATGTCATTCTAATTAAATCTAGATTAATATTTGGTTTCATTTATGTTTTCTGGTTTTTACTCTACATTGTATTACTATACAATTATTCAGAGAGAATTGGGGTTTAACCAGAAGCAAATTATAGTGGAGGCAGCAGCCTCAAATTTAAATTATTTTTTTTTCTTTTAAATCTCCAAATAGAAGAAAACTAAAAGCATTTTTGAGGAAACTGGGGGTCTTGAAATGAAATGAAATAGGGTTTAACGTCCTACTGTTCTGCTCCGAACTGGGCTAATGAAGACGGGCATACGCCATACAGTGTGCTATGAGGGAAATTTTGCCCGGACAGCGGCACTACGGCCTACTCTTATATCGAATTCAAACTGTCAAGGGATCTTTAACGTGCATTCCAATGTATACACAGGACCTTGGTTTTTCGTCCCATCCGAACGACTAGACAGCTGTCCTTGTCAGGTCCTCCGTCCTGCATCACTGACAAGTGAAACCACGCCAGAAAATCTGGATGAACTTTCTCGGCCAATGCAGGGATCGAACATGGGGGTCTTGAAGACGAACAGGTGGAAACGGGCGTAAATGTTGGAGGGGGTGGGACGCCTCAATGACTCTTGCGTGTGAGCGTAATCTGATGGACACGATTGATGTTGACAAAATTGCCAGTCGGTAAAGTTTGATGAAAATATGAGGACAGTCATATCTTTGCTAATTTATTTATATTCACCACAACAATAATCGAAGATATAGGTCCATGTAAATGATGTAATTATCACTTTCAAAAAGTTGTCACAGATTCACAGTACTTTGTAGGTTCTTGCAAAATTTTTAATGTAGACAATAATGTGATTGGCCGTTTGAATTCTGTCCAGTGACCTCGCGCACTATGAATTTTACTATCAATAAATAATCCGGATTTCAAAGAAATGAAATGAAATGGGGTTTAACGTCCTACTGTTCTGCTCCTATGCTGGGCTAATGTCAGGCCCTCTGTCCTGCATCACTGACAAGGGGGAACCACACCGGAAAATCTGGATGAACTGGATTTCAAAGAAGAATATCATCAAAGAACTATTAAAAAATTTTGTTGAACATTTCTGCAAATGATTATCACTATACAGTAGAATCTGCATTAAGCAGCCACCCAAGGGAATTTTCACAACTGACCGCTTAACGGGAGTGGCCTCAAATTAAATTAAATATTACGCTTGAATGCATTGAAAGCGGTAAATTTGACCGTCGCTGAATCTTGCACCGAACGAAAATTCTTTACTCAAATCTCGGACATAACTTCTGTAAACTTGTCATTTTGTACCAAACTTCGATACTACTGTCTACCATTGTGATGCATTCGATAATATTTATCCATTTTTGTGAAGAAAATCGATGAATTAATTTTATTTTATCAAAAAAGCACATGAACAAAAAAACATCGCTAATTTTATCACCTATTTACAGGGGGTGTAACTCTGTATGTAATATTATAGGAGGCGCTAAGAGAGATACTAGATGATCGTGACAAAACTCGGTACTTTTATTTTATTTAATCAGGATCAAATAATGTGTCGTTACGCGTGAAAACAATGATCAGGTTAGTCGTTTAATAAAACAAAAGATTAATTAACAGATAATCCCGGGTTGATTGTTATTTTTACATTTCTTTTTACCTGATCAGTGGGGGTCCAGTTAATTAAATACTACTCACGGGATTAGCGGGGGTGTTACAAAGAACGACAAGATGGTATCATTCAACAATGGCCGTTGAATGGGCGATGTTTTGTTGAATTTATTAGTAAAATAGTGACCGCTGGCCGCGTTAGAGGAGTGACCGTTGAATAAAGAGATGAAACAACAGAATTTCTACAGGGGGAATTTATCGTGACCGCTTACAAGGAGATGTCGCTGAATAGGAGTGGCTGCTCATACAGATTCTACTGTATTAACTAAACACTGATAAAATTTCTTATAGACAGGATTTTTAGGAACGAAAATATTTTTGCCACGAGAATTTGTGCCCATGGAATGCAGTCTATATACCGTAGTATATTTTGACTGATTGAGCAAACTTTTTTTTTACTACTTTTGAAATCAACTAACACCACCTTAATTCACATAGTCAACAAATCCTGTTTACTGTTGTATGTGTAATGAAATTAATCAATTGTCTGCTACCAATAGTTAAGAGCTATAAATAATACAAACCACTTCTGGATCAGGAGGTTTCGCACTTAAATCCATGGTAAAACAGTGTAATGGTGGCATTTCAACCTGTATAGGAAAAACAAAATAAAAACAACAATTAAAGTTTGTCATTTGGACGATTTTGAATTTCACGAATAAAATGTCCAAAAATGGTTCAATTCTGTTTGGTATTTACAAAGATATAATGATGCATTCATCATCCTTTGCAGATAATATAGCCAGCATGACCTGTAAGTGTTGGGTAAAATCATTTGATGTATCTTTTTAAAAACTGAATCCAAACCATAAGCTTATCTACCATTAATATTTTGTTTTTGTTTCCTAAATTAAATCTCGGGTATTCGATCCCTGCATTTCCCTCATAGCAAACTGTATGGCGTATGCCCGTCTTAATTAGCCCAGCATAGGAGCAGAACAGTAGGACGTTAAACCCCATTTCATATCATTTCATTTTCCTAAATTAAATGTTAAATAATTAAAGTAGGGGCCTACATTTTATCTTGGTTAAGCCATGAAAAATTAGATATTGTCCAAAAAATGTATGAGCAAGATATGTGATTTTAATATATAGGAATGTAGAGGAATCCTCATAAAGCAGTCTGATGAGGAGCAGCATGTGTTTCCTTTATGAATACTCAAAGCTAAAATCAGCCAAACTACTAGCAAAGAGTTCACGATTTAGTTGTATCGTGCCCACAGTTAATCACATAACAAAATTCACATCAATACCTGAAGAATGGAAGGGTGACGCAGAGAGAAATGGCGATTAATGTCCACTCAGCATAAACTAGGTCATTTTGGGACCAACATATGGTTCAATTTTATTTCAAACATTTGGTTGTGCGTAGGGGTCTTTAGCAGTGGGAGGAAACCAGAGGACCTGGTGGAGACCCACGAGGTGGGACAATCGAGCCTACTCCTTGTCACGTAAAACCGGGGAATCGAAATCATGACAGACCTTATGATACAACGTGCACGCCCTAACCATTCGGCCATCCAACCTCCCCAAGAATGGGAGAAAATGTTTACGGCCACTGAAAACAACTACTTCATTTTGGGACTAAGATTTGGTAAGTCCTTATTTCTAACACCGAACAAATTGAAGGGGAGGGATATTGAAATGGGCTCTGTTCATCCCAAATATCTTTCGGGAGCATGTCCTGGAAACCACCCAAGATATCTTTACAAATTTTTGTGATTGGCACAGAATATTTTCTGTCCAAATTATATTGTTTCAATATAATTCCCTTACACACAAGCCACTCATACATGCGCTCCAAATAACTTACCATTGGACATTTCTTTTCTAAATTCATGGCCGCTTGTTTGCCAACAGATGTGTTAGTCTTCTGTCGTGATAATCCTGGAGACTAAAAACAAAAACCATAGTCAAATTATTTAGCTTATATAATTGTGTTACCTAGTCTTTTCATTGGTCTTCTCTAACAACCCAGAATTTTATTTTAGAATTAGTATTTCAAAATTATAGTTTTACATGGACATCGTTTTAATTGGCTTTGCCATTTACCATGTATACCCTAACAATTATGTGCCGTTTCTGGTGAGAAGTTTTGCCAGACTGTCTATTACTCAAGAAATTAACATGTGAATGTGATTCTTGTGGTTTGAGACAGAGAGAGGAGGGTTTAATGTCCACTCAATACAAATTAAATTAGGTTATTTCAGAACAGTGGAAGGAAACCAAAGGACCAAAAAAAAAACATAAGGTTAGGCAGCAGACCCTACTCCTTCACATTGTTCATGTAAAGTCTGGGTCGAAGACCACGCCACTTGACTCATTGACACACTTTGTGATCTAAAATACCCACATTAGTAGACAACTCGCTCGACCCCAACTTTATATGGATAATGTCATTGTGTATTTTCGTATGACCGAAATTTGAACTATAAGTATAAATAATGTTTTAATACATACCTTATGTTGATGTTTGTACTGCTGTGTTACAGCCCAGTTATCTCCCCTTGTTGTAGGTCGAGACGATTCAGCCGATTCGTTAATTTGACTGAGTGGTCTTGGTGCCACAAATTCACTCAACTGACATGGATCAGGGCTTATGGTTGAACCTTCATTTTAGAAAAAAAAAAATTTTCAAATGTATTTTGATATTAAATAATGACAAGACTAAAAGACCAGATAACATCAATAGAATATTCTGAAAATTATAGTCATATTGCTCTACTCTGAACCGAGATGTTAAGTTTTGAATTTTAGGCTAGCCTCAATCATCATTAATAAAGTCTGTACAATAAAAACAAACGCGATTATCCATTTTTATGTTTAATTATTTTTTAAAAAATGTATTCCAATTCACTAAATATCGCAGGCTAGCGATTGGCATCGAGAGTTGATTATGGTCTGGATAAGTTAATTAATGTCTAAATAATAATTTAGATAACATTTCAGGCCTAAAGAAAGACCTGCAATAGGCAGATTTAACTCTTGCATAATGTATGTTTAAAGATGCACTATGAAAGAATTGGATAAAGAGCTGACCTTTCTTGTTATAATACCTGAAAACTAGATACCGGTAATAAAGAAAATTGAATAAATATTGAAAATTTCAGTTGATTTACATCATTCTGTTGAAAGTTATGATAGTTTATTTTAATCATTAAACACATAAATGACAGCATTCTAATCTGGTTAAAATCAAAGCCATCTGATGGCTCAGAGAGTTAATTATTGGCTTGTCATGATAATAAATATTTCAATAATAATTTATATAACATTTTAAGCCAGAGAAAAGACCTTGAATAGGCAGATTTAGCTCTTGCATAACATGAGCAATATACATTTACACAATTAATTGCTTAGTAAACAAGATATCACAGTTTCTATAAAGTTGGGTGTATACAAATAGAAATGAAATGGAATTGGATTAATAATGCCCTACTTTTCTGTAAAACTAGGCTAATGAAAATGAGCATACACCATGTAATAATTTCTGACAGAAATTTTGCCTGGACATCAAATTCCAACTTTAAAAATTTACACCAACAGTTGGACATGGGTTTTCATCCAATCTAAACATCTAGAACATATTCCTTGCCCTACACACTGGAACTTTCTTGGCCAACACCAGGATCGAACCCCCGTGTCATACTTACTGAGCCATTCTGGTTTCCACACATAACAGACTTAGTATATTTCATAATTCCATGTCAGTCTGCATCTGCACGATTCTCTATGGTTAAGTATTAAATGTGAGGGAGGAGAATTTTTACTCAGACAGCACTTACACATTTTACTACAAAATAAGCAGAAGTTTTCTTACCATTTCCAGAATTAAAATAAAGAGCAAATACATCAGGATTCTGGATAGACGTCCAGAACTGATCAATATCAGACTGAGTTTTCAGCTTTCCTTGTTTTTGTAACTTAGTTTGAAGATTAACAATCTGAAAAATAAGAATTATAGGGAAACTATAAGAAGTAGAGAGAGGGAGAAATTGGGTTTAACATCGACTTGACACAAATAGGTCTGTAGCAGTTGGAGGAAACCAGAGGATCTGGAGAAAACCCACATTGTTGGACAGGTGACCCTAGTCTGTGTCACGTACAAGCAGGGAATCGAAACCACGCCACTTGACTCAATCATGGACCTTATGATGTAAAACACATACAGCACCTCAGTTTGTTTCGCCCAATTGAATAACCAGATGCTTTTCCTTGCTAAGCCCTCTGGTCTAGGCTGGAAAATCACAATCTGTATATTCTACCAAATGGATCTTGTTAGAAATGCTACCAACCTTGGACATATCTGTTTTTGGTATGTTTTTCAGATACTGGTCATTATGTACCATCACATGTTTTGGTAATCTTCGTTTAACTTTATGACTAGCTGCTTTCTACAATAAACATTTTACATTTAATATTATGAATATCTGCTCTGCATTACAGAAATATTACTTTTAAAATTATAGCTCTCTGTTATAGAAATATTATCCCTTATACTGATTATCATGAAAAGCTTCTTTGGTATATATGGAATCTTACTAGAAAAATACTGGATTCTCTGAAAAACTCATGAGGCTCACACAGGACAGCACGTCTCTTGCTGTCTGCTGTGATTTGTTGTCATTACATGGGGAACTCGTTGACAACAACCTCTAGTAACCCAATTCTCGTCAGTGGCTGATTCGTTTCAAAATGGATTAAGACCCTTGACAGAAACCTATGAATATTTCAATAGAGATTAAATAAGAAAGCCAGAATATTACATAAACCCATGAAAATTAAAACATACCTCATCCTCTTCTTTCAGATGTGACCTACTTAACATGACCTCTGATCTCTCTTTGATTTCCTGCCGCTGCCTCTCAATTTTATTTGTCAATAGATCTCGATATTCACGATAATAATAATTCCTCAATTTATGTAAATCATCAACAACAGACAGATATTTCTGAAATGAAATGACATTTACCAAAATTATAACGATATTTATATTGCACAATCCATTAGGGACTGCTCTTGATGCCAGAAAATATTCTCATTCTGTATGGTAATGATAAAGACTATAGTATAAATAGGCCTACCCAAGTTTTCACTTTTAAGTCTCTTAAAAACTGACACAGAATTTTATAACATTGTTTGATATATTCTAGATGTGTATTTCACACACTTGATGAACCCTATCAAAAACTGCTGGGTTCTTTTAGGTGCACAGGACCACAGATTTATGTCCCATCCGAAAGATTAGATGTTTTTCTTGCCATATTATCAATTTTGAAGACTTCACTACAGATTATTTCCAGGATCATAGTAACAACTATTACATCCACACATGTAAAATAATGTTATATAAAGTAATTAGTGCTGGCATGATATATCGCTGAATCGCGAATCACCTTCTCACGATTATTGTATTGAATCCTGAGACGCTGAATCGATGTATCGCGATTCTTTTTTTTTAATGTTTTTCTGTCGCTTCAGTAAGTAACCTGCCACTCTTATTTATCCATGTCACACATTATCAATAGGTACACAAACACTCTTAAATTTCGGGGCCTTATTTTGATCCCCATCAATATCAGGATATTTCCTCGTCAGGACTATAAATATCAATTATTCATATATCCTGTTATTTTCTTGGTAAATATTGACCTGGTTATGAATCGGGATAGGAATTGTATCGTAGCACCTGAATCGTGACTGCAGTGGCAATACCCAGCACCAAAAGTAATGTCATACTATAACCTGTCAATCAAATTTTATTTCAAACAATTGCATGTAAAACATGCAGAATTATTTCAAGACCTCCTGTATCAAAGAATATGATTATTAAAAGTCAGATTTCTAAAAATTGCATTGTTTGGGTTAAATGGAAGAGCACTTAGTTTGTTGAATTGAATTATCACATGTAATATTATACTATAATCTATTATTATGACACCTACTTTATAATCACTAGTTTTATGTAGAACAAACCACTTAAATATAATCAATCACAATTAATTTCATATTTACATTAAAGGAATTTTGTGTTGGCTAAACACAAAGATACAACTTGGCAAAAGGCCCAGAAAATATTCCATATTTCAATTTAACAAATATAAGGGCTGGATCAAAAAAAAACAACATGGGTTAGACACCATCTTAGCCTCAGTGTTCATGGATATTGGTTAACCTTTAGATGCTGTCTGACAATTACAAAAAATTATGGATGATAATTTGAAAACAACAAAAAATCATGTGAACTTGAAATGGCAATAATTCTCATGGATTGATTGATTGTAATAATATTTCAATCAATATGTTTTTTGGTAAAGCCTGTCTCACACGAATGCGTCACTTTTATGCGTAACTACTTGTGTCAAGTGTATGTATTTTTGTAGGTCAATGTGTGCTGTGTGAGACCAACGTGGCACAAGGCATGTGTGTCAGTAGTTAATTGAAATAAAGGAACGCAGGGGTGTCGCAAAAACTCAAATTGTGTATATATATTTGTTAAAGCTTCTGGTCGTCATTTGTGAGATTTTGTAACGCTGGTGAAAGTAACATTGTGAAAATTCAATCACTAAAATGAATAACAATTAATAGTCCAAAAATTGATTCTATTCCCATTCAGTATTTACAAAGATATGATGAAATGAAAATTTAGCAACATTCAGTACCCTTTGCAAACTCAATAAACAAGCCAGCAACACCTATGGCTGGTGGTGGGTAAAATCTTTTGAATACAACAGAATTTCAAGCAATTAAATAAATTTGAGTACATTTTAACACATTAATATTAAGCCAAGAAGAATGAGATATTGTTAAAAAAATGCAAAAAATAAAAACAATCAGTGGCTTTAAGTAATTTGCACTGGAAAAAATCCATTACAAACAGTATATCATTCTCAAATCTCTTTTTTTTTTCTCTACTTCTAAAATATCCCCACCAAACTCCAATTCCAGGTTTTTAAACTTGCTGATCGTCATTTACATTTTATAACAAAAAGATAATATTTTATAACTTAATCCTTATATATTATACTTTCACAATGTTCTAGTTTGCAAGAGATTAAAAATCACTTACATGTTGATCAGAGATTTTAAATACACAGAACAACCTGACCACAAAATGAGAAACAGCTATCCATGCCTTACTAAAGACAAACAATTCAGCAACTAACCCAAATAAAAGCTCATATAACTTCATATATAACTGCCAAAATTATAATATCAATAATAATAACTGATTTTATAATAGAATATCTTATTACATTATTAAACAATTGACTTTGTTACAGGTAGAACCTAGATTGGATTATATTAATCTATGTTATATAATTACCTTGTTAAAAACCTGGTTAAATATAAACTTTAATAGACCATGATATCTATAGTCTATAGGGAACACATATACATAAGCTTATACATACTACAGTTTTACATAATATAGTATCAGGTTAATTACATGTATCACCTCACAATAAATGTGTTGGGCCTAAGGTATAGATTTATATTTGCTTGATAAAAACATTTTTTTCAAATTTCAAACTTGTTTTTCGACATCAGAAGATCTTAAAAAAATTATATTGGTCATAATCAAAACGCAGATAACAACCACGTAGCCAGTTTGTAAATAATTCATACGTTGTTGATTAAGTATTGTTTTATTGTTTCTTCACCTAATTATTTTTATGTAATATTCATATTTATTCTTTTATTTAGGAGAGAGGACATGTGATGTCTGTTCCCCAATCCCTTTCAATTATTGTTTTAAAAAAAGTTTTGAAGCTGGTTATGTAAAAATATGGAGTCATTAAATTCATTAATGCATAAAAAATTGTCATGTAAGAATTTTCAATGATGCATTGTACATTTTTCAAATAAATAAAGTTTGAATTATTTTTTCTTTATAATCAGATCTAAATTTTGTTGGGTTTTCTTTTGGTATCCTCCACTACATAAAGGACAGAGGTTGTAAAGACAAAATGAAACTTGAACTACTGTCAGTAGTGCAAGATGGAAGATCTGTCAAGGTGAGTGTCTAGCTGCTCGGATGTGACAAAAACTGAGGATCTATGTACACATAAAAGAACCATTGACAGTTTGAAATAAGAGCAGCCTGCAGCGCGCAATGCTGACTGGAAAAATTTCCCTCATAGCACACTGTATGCATCTTCATTAGCTCAGTTGGTGCAGAAAAGTAAGACTTTAAATCCCATTTCATTTACATACAGTGTCATGCTACGTAACTTTTAATATGTGTTTATATTTCTGGGTTAATTTTTTTAAGAAAAATGATGTGGACTGTGACAGCTTTGTTTGTCTAAGTATGCTGTCCTATGTCATACCTCTTCCTTGAATTTTTCACGTTCTTTATCTCGTTCATCATCACTATCCACAAATTCTTGACGTCTTTTTCTTCTTTTTTCTCTTCTGGCTTTATCTGATAACTACAATATATCAATAGCAAGTTCAATTTTAAATCAAGGTTTGCTTAAATTCATTTTCTAAGAGAGAGAAAGAGTTTAACATCCACTCGACACAAACCAGGTCGATTCTGGACTAATACATGGTTCAATTTTATTTCAATAATTTGCTTGCGCGTAGGGGTCTTTAGCAGTGGGACAAAACCAGGGGGACCCGGAGAAAACCCAAGAGGTTGGACAGGGACCCTACTCCTTGTCACGTACAATTGGGGAATCGTAACCAAGCCAGTTGACTCAATCAGACCTAATGATACAATGCGAACTTGCTAACCATTCAGCCATTTGACCCCCATGTAATGGAAAGATTGGGAATGACATAGTTCTATTTAATTTCAATAATTCACTTGCATTTAGGGGTCTTTAGCTGTTGGAGGACACAGAATGACCCAGAAAAAAACCACCAGGTTGGACCAATTGAATTTATTCCTTGTCACGTACAAGCGGGGACTCAATGACAGACCTTGTGATCTAACTTTCCCCCTATAGCAAGTACTCATACAATGTAGTAATACATATATTCATATTAACCTTTTTCTTTTTTTGTCTACTCGTTTCCATGCCGTAATCTGAGAGAACGTGAGGTAGACAAGGTTGAGATCGATGTTGGTATAAACTCTTCATGTTTGTTAATTCAGGCTTCATATGATGGCTTTGTTTAATTTCTTCAACTGAAGCTCTCTCCATCTATCAAAATAAAATAGAGTTTAAATGAGAGGTTCACAATTTCCTTAACAGATTAAAATTTCTTCTTATTTTGGGGGCAGATGTTTGGTCTTTGTGAATGTGATACTGATACCTGTAGATGTTTCATCAATTCATGATTCAGATATATAGGAGTAAGAAAGATTAGAGAAGGAAGCAGACTTTTCTAATTAAGTTTCTGGTAATCATAGAATTTCTCAGAATCCAACTGAGAAATTTGATTTAATAGCTTATTTGAATTGTCAACACATATCATTACAGTATTGAAATAAGTAATTCTATCACAAATAGTTATAAGGCAGTGTTACTATGCTTTTTTACTATGATTATGAATGCCATATATGGAAAGTGACGTATGATCACGTGAGACAGGTGTGCATGCTATTTCTGGCTGGGCAAACATTTTAAGTTGGATATGAGAGAAATTTCGCATAGCAGTTTGGTTTCATCAAATCATATAATTATTCGGTAAGGCTTCACCTTTATTTCGATGGGAATTGGTTTATTACCATATGTTAAGATAGGTGCAGTACAGTTCGGGGTCATTTTATGTGGAAATTAAAACTTTCTTCAAGGAACTGCTCAGAGCGATCCATTACTGTGGCTGGAGTAAAACGGAAGACATCAGTGAGTAGGCTAGTACTAAGTACCAGTCTTTCATGTTTATAAAATTGTGCGGGAGCCATAAAAAGCTCCTGATACCTTGAATATTCAGTTTAAAAGTACACAAAAACTGAAAGTAGTTTATTAATCTCAATATTTAGGAGAGCGATCTAGCTAATTTGCAGGAGTCTTTAATGACTCCTTCGAAGGAAAGCCGACGTGCGTCAAGAGGAGCAGGAGTGAAAGCTCCCCTTAAACGTGAAGGACTGAAGTACTAGTGCCGTAGTCGAACCATTTCTGCTAGGCCTGCTTCGACTGCTGGTCACAGAAAGGCCTAATCGTGATGGGATATTTCGGGATTAGTTTCTATTAAATCTAGAAAATGGATTAATAAACATTTCTTTTATGTTTGACGTGGCTTTTGAACTCTTATAAATTTATAATTTACTTTGCTTTGACAGGATTTTAATAGGCCTAGTGTTAAATTTCAATGCTTGTTTTCACTTTTTCTTTTTTACTTAGTTTTTGCTGGTCACAAGTCGAGTAAAATGGATGCTGTGTTTTATATTTGTAATTGAGTGAATATTTAATGTATTGACCTCATCCTTTCCTTCATTTTCCTCCTTATCATTTTGATTTTGGTTTATTGTATCATTATTTATAGAGATTTTTTCATTTTTTTCCGTAGAAACTGGCCTTTGCTCCGCCATTATAGTTTACTGTTGCCAGGTGATGAAGGGAGATAACCATCAAAAGTTTATGTTGTCGGTTTTCCAGTCACTTATTTAATACGCGATGGCCGAATGGTTAGTGTGCGCGCCATTGAGTCAACTGGCGTGGTTTCGATTCCCCGGTTGTACGTGACAAGGAGTAGGGTCGCCTGTCTAACCTCGTGGGTTTTCTCCGGGTCCTCCGTTTTCCTCCCACTGCTAAAGGCCCCTACTTCAAGCGAATTATTGAAATAAAATTGAACCATTTGTTAGCCCCGAAATGACCTCTCGTTTTCAATATCGAGCTACAGCTACTTTTATTTTTGGGGGATAATTAAAACAGTTCAAAACATTGTCATTTTTTAGGCTAATTCTTGATCGCTGATAATTAGGGCTCATCGGTTATAAATTTCTGTTTGATATTGTTCATATTCTGAAAGTCTGTTTTTATACTTCAAATGTTTAGTCATTTTAAGGGGGTCTAGCTTAGCGGCTAACTAAGGAGAACTTAGACGGTGGTTGTTTTTAAAGGAGCTAAATCGCTAACATTTGGGACCTGGAAATTCACAAAAGTGGGTCGCAACGCATATAATACTGTAATATGAATGTATATAAACTGATTTACATTTAATGGTTTCCGTTTTTACTCCAATTTCAAATCAGTTATGTTCGGCGAAATAAGTCAGCAATCTCAATCGAGTGCAAATTTCTAGCGTCTAGTTATTCTAGTCTACATAACTCCATTTGATTTGGTGCAAGTGTCTAGCCTCGTCCCCCGAGTCTCTCAATACAACTGGGGCTGAAGCGCATTATGGTACACGATTCGTGTACCAATGTTAAAAAAATTATTTTATCTTAAATATCGGATATCAGAAGCTCATCTTTTCCCGGTAAGTTTACATCATCAATGTTGATTTAAATTGACCAATAATTCGTGTTTTTGATGTCGAAGATTTTGGAGGATTTTGAGTTACGGACTTAGGTCCTTTAAGGGCACAGAAAGGATATTAATTAGTTGCCAATGAGTAAATATGCGATACAAAATAAAGAAAGAAAATAAACTACTTTTTTCTTTCTTAGGGCCTATTCTTGCGATTCCCTAAAAAAAAAAAATAAAACGACAATTATTTCAATTATAAAAATAATAATCGGAATGTATGTCACTTCAAGTAGGCAATTCATTTACTTTCACCAGTGATTGTTTCACATAAAAATTGTGTTCTGTTAATAATGTATTTCCCAACCGCTAAATGCTACTTTAAGATCATTTGACTTCAGTTTCAACATAGTATACCCATTGACGTCTATATGACGTCAATGTTCGTACCGGTACCAATTAATTTTGACCTTCACCTGCAAAACCGTGAAACTGTTTACGGGTTTAACTCGACCTTGAAGAATAAACATTAGTTTTATTAACACTAATCCAGTGATTTTCAAGGTGGGGCGCAGGCCTCACTGATGGGACAAGGCAATATTTTGCTGGGTTTTAGGTTTCATAATGGGACGTAGGGATTTTCATAGAAATAATTCGCAATAATTTGTTTGAAAAATCAAAGAAATTTGCAGCGTCAAGATCAAGGCTCTCCGACTGGGCTATTAAAGACGGGCGTAGGCCTACGCTATATACAGTGTGCTATAGGGAAAATTTTGACTAGATAGCGGCCTTTATACGGCCTTTGTCGGATCATGGTTAGGGAGCCACCGCGGCGCCGAAAGTAAATAACAAGTGAATAAAACTTGCAATAAAGTATAAGTTTATAATGGCCTTTGTCGGATCCTGGTGGGCGCTCGTTTTTGGGGTGGGGGGTGTTTTGTTGGGTTTTTTTTAGTCGAAGTGGGGTGTTGGACAAGGTTGAGAAACCGTGATCTAATCATTTTATCAGCGTTCTCTGCGCGTGACCCTACATTTTTAACGTTTAAATCAATATATTGCAATTTAATAATTTTTCCAATATTTTGCAATATTAGCTGATTTCTTAAATATACAAAAAGGCTGAACTTGGCCAAAAACGTCATTGGTATAGAGCCGCAACATTTAGTTTTTGCAAAATATTGTACTTTATCTATGGTATCGTTCGTTCTGACCATGTCACGTCCATAAAAAAAAAATGACATGAATTTTACTTGGTAATGGCCTGGGCCCTCATTCACGAAAACTTAAACTAAGATACAATCGAAATTTTAAGAAATACTGCAATTCGATTGTCTGACCAATATGCAAATTGGATACATGTAAATTGATTTTACTGGTCAGCCAATCGAATTGCAGTATTTTTTAAAATTTCGATTGTATCTTAGTTTAAGTTTTCGTGAATAAGGGCCCTGGTTCGTGGAATGCGGTATTTGCGAAAAGATGAGTACTTAACAAGAGTTGTCTCCCTTGTATTGTACAAATCAATATTACGTGCACCAACTGAATATAGAATTGTAGAACAAATGAAAATGAAATGGGGTTTAACGTCTTACTTTTCTGCATCAACCGGGCTAATGTAGACACGCATACGTCATGCAGTGGGCGATGAGTGTAATTTTTCCCAGACAGCCGCGCTATGGTTCCTCTTATTTCAATGTCCAACTGCCAATGGGTCTTTTCCGTGCAGCCACGGGACCTTTGTGTTAACACACATCCAAACATCTAGGTGTTGGCCAGATAGTCCCCCGGAATTTCCCAGCGTGGTCTCTCTTTATCAATGGTGCAGGGCGGAGTACTTGGCAAGGAACAGCGTCTAGTCCTTCGGATGGGACGAAAACTACGTTGGCGTGCAATTATAGCACACTACAAAGTGTATGCCCGCCGTCAGTTCCCGGTTGGTGCAGAAAAGTAGAACGGTAATGTCCATTTCATTTATTCGTATATTTATTTTTCAAAAAAATCTTATTATAAAAACATTCCTTTTCATGTAAACTCACCGCTTCTCGTCGTACCGAGACGTGTCCTTTCTTGTTTGGTCTGTGAATTTGTTATATACAGTTCGTCCGCGGTCCCCTCCAGTTTGTTTTGATCCCACACTAGTACCTGACAAGGCGTTAGTCACCTGCCTAACCTCATGGGTTTCCCTTCCACAGATATATACTCAAAGCCATTAAAAACGCAATGCCTAATCTGTAAAATATTTCTGGTAAACGTTTTCGAGGGCTTTCCTATCTTATGGCACATAGGTGAAACTTGTGACTGGTCTCTTTTTGTGGAGTTCTGGGTTTAAACCCAATATCAGTTCTCGGTAATGAACTTTGTTCGTGCAAACGCAACACTTGTCTTTTTTCGCGATTTTAAGCAGTCCCATGTCACACGTTTTGCACGTGCATTCCCTGCACTCTGGCCCTTTAAATACAGATCAAAATTTCAACATTCATCACTTAGGAAAAATGCCACGCCTTACACAAGAAAACAGGAACAGAGCTATTGGCATGCTGGATCAGGGCGCTTCACAGGTAGCCGTCGCCAGACACTTTAATGTCCACTCATCGACCATTGCTCGTCTCGGACAACGCTTCCGCGCCGCTGGAATTGTTGCCGATCGACCCCGACCTGGAACGCCACCTGTAACAACCGCTGCTCAAGATCGCCACATCCGACTGCAGCATCTGCGCAATAGGTTCCAGTCAGCTACTGCTACTGCCAGGGTAACTGCTGGAACACGGCATAGTCATCGACTTGCCAGACAGTAATGGGGTATCTGCACAACAAACCATTTCGAAATGTCATCTTCTCTAATGAATCCCGATTGACAAGAGACTTTCTGAACAATCATCATGTCCGTATTATGGATTGTTCCGCTATGTCTCCCGACATGAACCCGATCGAACACCTTTAGAATGAACTTAGACGACGGGTTCGAACTCAAGCCGTGCCACCACGAACTGTTGCACAGGCACCCCAAAATCATTGGCAAACAATCCCACAACGTGTAGTGTGACATCTGTGCCAGTCCATGCCAAGGCGACTTCAGGCATGTGTAAGAGCTCAGGGTGGACATTCCCGATATTGACTTCAGCTGATTCCTGCTTTTTTTCATGGTTCTCTGACGTTTCGGTTTTGTGCATTTGTAGTGAATTCTTTCATGAAATTATCCACAGATGCTTGTTATCTCGATTTTGTCAATTGTTATGTACATTTGTTAAAAGTTGTTGCAGTAAATAAACCTTGAATTTGGCATTGCGTTTTAATGGCTTTGAGTAGATCACGCGCTAGCGAATTCTTGAAATAAAATAGCACCATTTTAGTCCCGAAATGACCTAATATTATATATATAGTCTATGTTAATTTGACGTTAATTGACGTCAGCCCCCGGCATCAGTTTATTTGCTGAATCTAAGCAAATATTAATTTTATTTTAAAAAAAAACAATGTTTTTTTTATTTTTATGTCAAATCATCGGTTGAACAAAAGAACGTGTTCTTTAAATTTTGACACAGAAGCTTTTTACAACTCTGTATCTAAAAAATGTCAATTTTATCATAAATCATTCATTTTTTATGTGAAATCACCGCTTCTAATATTTAGTTTTATATTTGTTATTATATATTAAAGGATGGCACGCAGATAAGTCGCGTGTAAACTGTGCGATATGATTCAAACAATGATAATGAAACTTTACAACCGGTGCGCTTTATGCCAAAATGTTTTTGTTGGGTTTACTCAACCGTGGAAAAGGCGTTGTATTTTAAGTAGATTTGTGACTAAAGACGCTGTATAAGTAGGTCGTATCTCTACAGTCGATGCGCACAATATCATTACACCCCGTGAATAGAGTCACCCAGCCGTGAATACTTATAATCGCGCTAAATATGATATTATCTAGCAACGTGTTAAAGATTGTATGCTGTTCGGATCCACCGAAAAGCGGCGACAGCCGAAATGCAAATGAAACAACTAAATCATCGGGATTCAAGGAATGTGACGCCTATATTTTATTTTATTTTTTATTATTTTACTAGCAGGATACCCGGCTTCGCTCGGGGGTCATAACTCCGAAACCGGAAGTGGTAGACTAACGCCACCTGGCCAATGTTACTCCCCGGTCCGAGCTACCCTTATACCCCAAATTTCAGACTCGGGCCAGACCTAGTGTTGCCGCCAACCCCGAACAGACCGGCTTCGCTCGGGGGTCATAACTCCGAAACCGGAAGTGGTAGACTAACGCCACCTGGCCTATGTTACTCCCCGGTCCGAGCTACCCCTATACCCCAAATTTCAGACTCAGGGCAGATGTAGCCGCCAACCCCGAACAGACAGACTTCGCTCGGGGGTCATAACTCCGAAACCGGAAGTGGTAGACTAACGCCACCTGGCCTATGTTACTCCCCGGTCCGAGCTACCCCTATACCCCAAATTTCAGACTCAGGGCAGATGTAGCCGCCAACCCCGAACAGACAGACTTCGCTCGGGGGTCATAACTCCGAAACCGGAAGTGGTAGACTAACGCCACCTGGCCTATGCTACTCACAATATAGAAATACTGGGGAGCCGCGGTGGCTCAGTGCGTAAGATGTTGGCTCGTTAACCTTTGTCCCTGGTACATATTAGCGTGTACGTAAAAGAACCCTTGACCGCTAAAGGATGTAAGAGTCAGTGTTCGTAGCCCAGCTGTCCTGGACAAATTCCTCTCGTAACACACTGTATGGCATATGCCCGTCTTCTTTAGCCCAGTCGGAGCAGAACTTTAGGACATTAGACCCCATTGCATTTCATTTTTAGAAATACGAGGCTGTTCACAATGAAACGAAGTGTATACGGAGGATTATGCGTAGACCCGTATTTTTAAATACCGGGGCCCTTATTCACGAAAACGTAAACTAAGTTAAAACCGAAATTTTAAGAAATACTGCAACTTCATTGGATATATGCAAATTGATTTTACTGGTCAGCCAATCGAATTGCAGTATTTCTTAAAATTTCAATTGTATCTTAGTTTAAGTTTTCGTGAAAAAGGGCCCCGGTATACGTAAATTCTTAAGTTGTCCCCTTTTTATAGTTTATTAATTAAAAACATGGCAGACCATACTTCGACAATATTTCAAATTTATTAGAATTTATAGGCTACATTTAAAGATGCCTTCCTACGTACAAACTGTGTAATTTGATTATATTTGTACTAAATATACTCAAATTAATTTGTCTATCAAAACTTCAACTCCCCTCAAGACACTTTAATTTCACGAAAACTATACCGCAGGCCGTATAAACTTATTTAAAGCAGCCTTGTTTGTCACGTGACAAGTTCAGAGAAAATCCATTTTCAATTTGTATTTTTCGCTAACCGATGTCCATTTACAATAAATATCGAAGCCTAAGTAAATTCTTGGATTATCCTGTTAACTTCTTATTCGGTCCTTTAATTGCAGAGCCTGCAGTTCGTCGAAGTCTCTCTGTTTTCACAACCGCTATACCATTCGATCAACACATACCGAGCACCCCTTCACGTCACTCAAGTGAACAACAAGCGACCAGAACAGACTGCCAGTCAGTGATCCCCTACTTGTTTGACCCCTATCCAATCTCACAAGCCTATCCATTCATATAATGAATAGCTGTCATGCGGGCAAGTGCAAAAATCGAACCTCATTCGCCCGGACAGTGTCGCTACCGCCTACTGTTATTTCGATTCCCAAACTCTCTGGGAATATTTAACGTGCTGCCAGTGTATACGTCGGACCTATGTTTTTTGTTCCATCCGAGCGACTAGACACGTTTCTTTTCCAGGCCACCCGTCCTGCACTACTAACAAGCTGAAACCACGCTGGGAAATCCAGATTAAATTTCTCGACCAACACCGGGCATACCCACCGAGCCGCCGTGCCCCCCCCCCCCCCCCCACTTAATCCCAATAGCCCACTAAAGGTCAAAGTTGTCGATCCTTATTTTCAAACTGTTGGGCAAACCTTGTTCTTCAGTTGCGGTCTATTCATTCATTTTATTTCTTAAGTGTAAGCAATCATTACAGGATCATGTGAGTTGGCCCACATTTTACAGTGTAAAGCCCTACTTCACAATATGATGTTCAAAGATTAAAACACTTGAAAAAGTGGTCATTATGAATTTCCAAGTTATTTTACATAGATCTGTTTGTGCTTCTCTTTAACGGGGACTACCCCATCTTCGCTTATTACCAGATACGAAGTAATGTTGTAATCATTGTACTTTAATATGTTATATTATATAGGCTCTTATTCATATAAAAGAAAGACTTAAATCAATTTGAGATCGCATACGAGAAATTAACATAATGAATTCATGACGATAAAGTGAATAAATCCATGGACCTTATAATACATAAGGTCCATGATAAATCGAAATGAAACGGGGTTTAACGTCCTACTTTTCTGCACCGACTTGGCTGATGAAGATGAGTATGAGGGAAATTTTGCCAGGCGCTACGACCTGCTCTTATTTCGAGGGTAATTTTATATCAACGCCAATATGTACACGGAACCGCCGTCCTGCATCGACAATGGGAATTTTCGCAGCCACCTGGTTAGCGACTTGCGGACCACCGTCTTACTCTTTGAACAACCGGGGCTCCCACGAATGAACCACCAATATGTACGTATACGCATGATAGGTAATAGAAAATAAATAAACCTTTATTTCTTAATTTATTTATTTTGTATACACATTTTTTAGGGTAATCGCAAGGATTGGACAGGAAATAAATCATATGAGGTGAATCTAAATCATCTATTCGGTAGTCGGCTTTCGGCAAATCAGAGCCACCGTTTAATGTTCTGATTTTATTGCTGGAAAAAAGTTAATTCCGGATTACCTCCCTTGAACTATTACAGAGAAAGAAAGAAAGAAAAAGTTGCGATGAGCGTCTCGACCAAATAATATATGTCGCTTATATTGCAAATAACACACAGTTAATTTTATTTACTAAGTTCGTGCGAGGTGAATCGTTTTTTCCACCATCCGAACAACTAGGCATACGCTCTTTCTGCCAGTCGACAGCTGACGCCATGCCTTTTGCAACTGATTTTGAAAATTAAAAAGCTTTGTCTTGGAGCATGCAGCTACAGAAACAATAATAAGCTATTGATGGGAGTGATCGAGTTTTACTAATATATGCAAAAAAAGGGAATTTTCTAGTGCTAAAACATTACTTCAAATAAATAAGACTAAACGTTCGTACCAGAAGTTGATAAACACCATTTATGTAACCAAAGAACTAATTCATCAATATTTTGTAATCTTCAAACCCAGAATAAACTGGCGTCTGCATTATAAATTCAAAATAACAAAAATCGAATTTTGGGTTTTTTATTATTATCATTATTAATTAGCTACCAGTTACATTTACAGAGTGAAGTTACATGTCGTGCGATATGGGAATTAAACTTTTTAACTTCTCGCTTAGCGGCACTTCATGTTATTATGAATGGACCAAGTTGATTGATCCAAGTACAAATTTAGTTCAGTTGAGGATTGGCTTTGTTATAGGTTTCGTGTTACATGGGAGTTTTTAAGGACCCTGGGGAAATGTGCCTGGGGTTTCAACACCGTTCTAATTGTTTTAAATAAAATTAGCTAATCGTTCGGATTACACGTTAAGGACAATTTCTGTTGTTTGCTCAGAAAGGGTTGATGAACATATGAACTGTTACACAGCATGCTATCCTCTCAAATAATGAAATCAATTTGTGTTTAACGTCCCACTTTTCAGTACCAACCGGGCTATAAGACGGACATCCATCATGCTGTTTGCTAAGAGAGAAGGTTCGACTGGACAGCGGTGCTACGACATACTCTTATTTCAAATTCCATGAGTCAAGGATTCTTTTATAATGCAGGCTAACGTGTACACGGAACCTCGGTTTTTCGGCCCACCCGAACGACTAGACGCTGTCTCTTAAACACCGATGACTGACTTTATACAGAACAGATAGCATCGAATGTTCCATGCAACTAGAACCACTGCACCGTGCTTTCTAATCTGTCCATGAAATATATAATTTTTAAAAAAGTGTTTAGTACTAATTGAAAAGCCTTATTAGCAACAATAACAAACTCCAAGTGTCTTCGAAAAGAGCCGTAAACATGAGCTGAATATTCTTAAAGATTGAGTCAAACACCGGGTGGTATTTGTTCTAAATATTTACAAAATTGGTTTTCAGTGAAGAGCAAAGAAATATTTGGTCAAGAGAACGTTTACAGTCGAAGATTGATGAACACAACTGAGTACCAAATGAAGAGAAGAACCCTTTATCTGATGACGAACTGAAATAAGGGTTCATTCTTCTGTTGATGACTAATCCCTTCTGTTAGCCCCCTTTATCACCAGTTATACAAATACATGCACGCGCCGTTAGTTGACTGGCCATATTTCAACCACAGGGGAAAGGAGTAATGGCCATAATTTAACTGGGTCTTAACGGTGTGACAATAACTATGAAATTATTTAAAGACGGGATAACGTCTAACTGTAACCCGTTATATTTGTGTGAAAGACAATGAAAACCCGTCCATAAAATTCAGCTATAAATGTCATAATCTGGGCCAGCCTTCTAGTTAGTGGGGTTACACGGAGTTTACAGCGACCGCTAACCGTCTCTAAGTTTCATTAATATAAGCCATGGATATACACCGACTTAAGTGATATATGCGGTAAGAATTATTTCTATTCAAATATGGAATTCAGTTTTGAATATAAAATAGGATAGGAGACTAGTGTGTGTATGCGTTGATGAATTTATTTAAATCTCGACGCTAATCTGATACTACTTTCTTTTTTTAAGGTACGTTGTTTAGCCCTGTTTGACTTGTGTTCTCTCAATTATACCAATCTCTCGAGGCAGGTATAGAAAATAGAAAGAAAAATAAAATGCCGGAATGGGCTGTCTAATAGAAACAGTCGAGATGAATAGCCGCATTATCGGATGCATATAAAGCCTTTACATTATATTTAACCGGTGTAAGCGATCGCATTCAGAAATGGACAGACGCATGATTGGCAGCTCTTAAAGCAATGATTGATAGCGGTGGTGCGTTGTTAATGCGTGAAGTAGGCGGGGCTCCCGAGAATAACAGTAAAAATGATTGGACGATAGAACGGTAAGTTGAGACGAAGGGAATCTCGCGGTGTTGGTTGTATTGAATGCTACCACGAGTTATATTCTCATAGATTGTATATGGCCGGGTCGATAGTTAGTTGATTTCAGTTGTTTGTAGGCCGTACACGAACTTAAGGCCGTCCATCCCATGTAACAGCGATTAGAAGACAACTTTAAGAATGACATGGCTGGCAATAAGCAGAGTTCTGTGGACGTGGTGTAATTGTGGAGAGGGGAAAGTTTGTCGACAGTGAATGAAGGAGATTAGGCAGTACCCCTCATACAACCTCAACACGAGTTCCAACTAGCTAGAAACAAGACTACTCACATTGTGTTCTCTTTGCTACATGATCAGCCAAAATGCGGAGTAATGGTGTTTGTACCATAATACTGTACTTTCTTGGAGTAGCCATTGTTTCGTCTGTTCCTGGCATCTATTCATCTGAGAATGTACGAACTTGTGAACCTATTCGGTTTGATATGTGTAAAGGATTGGGCTACAATGTTACTGGGATGCCCAATTTAGTGGCCCACAATGATCAACGAGATGCTGTTTTACAGTTACAAACATTTACCCCCCTCATTCAGTATGGATGTTCCAAACAACTTAAGTTTTTCCTCTGTTCGGTTTATGTGCCAATGTGTACAGAAAAAGTTATGGAGCCGATTGGTCCGTGTCGCCCGATGTGTGAAAGTGTCAGGAGCCGCTGTCAACCAGTTCTCAACGAGTTTGGCTATCCTTGGCCGGCAGCACTCAACTGCTCCAAGTTTCCGCAAAGGAATGACCAAACCCACATGTGTATGGATGGTCCAGGGGATGAGATAGAGGATGATCTACCTCTACCAAAGAAACCCCATCTTCCCCGAGGACCCCAGAGCAGCACAGATACACCCGGACGCAGCATCCGACCCCCACATTTCTCTAAAAGTTGTGAAAAATACCGAAACGCATCGAAATATATTTATATCAATCGGACGGAGAGGTGTGCGTTGTTGTGTTTAGAAAACGATGCGTTCACCAGCAAGGATAAATTATTTGCAGATGTTTGGATGGCTATATGGGCAGGTTTGTGCTTCGTGTCCACTTTCTTTACAGTATTGACCTTTCTGATCGACTCTCAGAGATTCAAATATCCCGAGAGACCCATCATTTTTCTATCAATGTGTTACAACATTTACAGTATCGCCTACATTGTTCGTTTGTTGGCTGGTCGAGAGTCTATAGCATGCGATACAGAAAGTCAAAGTGGCAAGGCAATACTGATCCAAGAAGGGTTAGAAAATACGGACTGTGCCATAGTGTTCCTTTTGCTATATTTTTTCGGTACTGCCAGCTCACTGTGGTGGGTGGTGTTAACTTTTACGTGGTTTTTGTCCGCGGGGTTAAAATGGGGACACGAAGCTATACAACTCCATAGTAGCTATTTTCATCTCTTCGCATGGGCTATCCCCGCCATAAAAACTATCGTGATTCTAGTGATGAGGGATGTTGATGCTGACGAGCTCACTGGAATCTGTTATGTCGGAAATCAGAACACACAGACTCTTCTGGGATTCGGCATCGCGCCTCTTATTGTTTACCTCTTGTTAGGAACCGCATTTCTCGTTGCTGGATTTGTGGCATTATTCAGGATTAGGAAACAAGTCCGCTGTGACGGTGTGAAAACGGACAAACTTGAGGTTCTGATGGTGCGAATTGGCATCTTTTCCGTGCTATATACTGTACCAGCCACGTGTGTTATTGGCTGTTTATTGTACGAATACCTTAACAGATCCTCGTGGTACCTCTACAGCTATCAAACCTCACCAAATATTGAAATTTTCATGCTCAAACTTTTTATGTCACTGGTCGTGGGAATAACTAGTGGCATGTGGATCTGGTCCGCTAAAACTGTGAGTTCCTGGAGAAACTTTGTCAAAAAATTATGTGTTAGGAAGCGAGACAGTAAACACATAGAATACAGCATGCCTCACAATTATCATCAGATACCCTTAAAACCACCGAACCGTTCTATCCGAATGGACAAAACGAAGCGAGTGAAATCCGATGAGACGGTGGTATGACTGACATCTACTCTTTCAAATTAATTGTTGTGTTGTTGTGTTACATTTTTGTCAGCGAGATACCAAAAAATGACTCTGTTACAGTCCCAGTATATCATTGATGTTCGACGATGTCGGAAAGGAGGACGAAGATGTTGATGATTTGTGCGGTGGTGAGTTGGGGGTGGGGGGTGGAGGTAATACCCCTCCCCTTCTTAACTCACGAACGGAACTTTATTTAAAGACTTGTTTTATTACTAAAACGTGATCTTGAACATCATTATTATGAACAATGCAATGCATATGTTGTACCAAAGAAAAACAAACAAAACAAAACAAATAGACGCGCTTTTTAAAACAATGTGGCAATATTGTGAAAGAATGGACGACAAGTTTGTGTTAGGTTACTAGGAAAGTAGATTGATTCGGCTTTGAGGTTAAACTACACAGGAATCGATAAGAAGGAGTTTTGAAATTCACGACATGTCCGTTACGGTTTTGTTACCGAATTCCCTTTCTTTTGAATCGATGGGATCGAGGCGACAAATTATTCGGAAACTTTAATGTCAAAACAAGAACCGAACTGTTTTTACAATACTCAATAACGTCAGGTGAAGAAATGGGTATATAACTATCTTTCGTGATGAAGTTTTGTGAGTCAGTCGAGGTTTGGACCAACCTACAGTAATAGAAAGATATATTATCATAAGTTGAAATGAATACAAGGCGACAAGTTATTATTATGTTCTAACTCTACGGGTAATTTTTTTTTTTTAGTTTTGTTTTTATTTCTCTATTCGCCTAATTGTCCCAAAGATCATCGCAAGAATTATTAATTGTGACAATAGAAGCAGAAACCAAAAGTCAATGTGAAATTACATATATATAAAAAGTTTAAACTTGTTTTTTTTTTGTGCCGTTTGTTTAGTGGTTACCTCTGATTAAGCGATAAAAAAGGACGAAGAGACGGAGTGTAGGGATTGGTTATTTAAAATTGTGTATTATAAGTGTTAAATGTTGAATATTATTTTTAAAAAACGACTATATATGTTGATTTTTGATGCAGTTTTTATTTTAAGAAAGACGGTAAGGCAAGTTTTCGTTAATACTGCACCATTTTCTTGTTAGAGTAAATTATATATGACCAAAATGAAGAACATATACAAATGTTTCTCTTAAATTCTTGGTCAAATGATTAAAATTTCTACTCAAAATGATTAAAATCTCTACTTAAATGTATGTTTCTCTCAAATTCTTGGTCAGAATTTCTACTTAAATGTATGTTTCTCTCTATTTCTTGGTCAAAATAATTAAACTTTATACTTAAAAGTTATTAACTTTACTGTTCACTAAAGTATTCTATTTAAAGAAAATGAATTGTTTATCAAAATCACCATAGTAACAAAACAACGAAGAAAACGAGAAAACTATATTTAGTCCCAAAAACTTGAAATGAAGTTGAACCGGTAGGAGTTACGTGTAAAATGTAAATAATGGAAAATTGTGAATGAAAACGTTTTTTCAATGAACATCTGCGTTGTCTTTATTTCTCTATGTTCGTTTGTTGATTCGAGGATTTACTCTCTAAGACGAGTTGTGTGCTCGGATAATGAGGGGTAATCCCCGGCTCACAGGTACCACGCCCCCTCCTGATAACTTTTCATAACTACGAGGTCCTTCTGGATACACCTATATACCACTGTTTATGTGACATTCCTTTGAAGTATAGAACTAACTTTATCAATGTTTGGTTCCTTTTCTGTTGGAATTCGTGGGTTTTGTGAAAGTATGTTTATTTTTCACGGATATACAAGTTAAGCTAAAATATTTTTAATCGATAAAACGGAAAACATCCAAAAAGTTAACTTTTCGAGAAAAAATACCCATGATGTTTTTTTACTTGCAATACAAGAATTTGAATACAAGCGTTTTTAAGAGATGGTTATATTTTAGATATAAACTATGGAACATTTGAAAACGTTCTTTTATTATTTTTTGTTAGTCAGATATGTTTGTGGTCTTTTAGTTTCAGTTTGGAATTAAGGAACATTTTGGATATTTATATATAATTCCTAAGTGAGATTAATGTTCTAAATCTTTTTAAAAAAAACTGAGTTTATCTATGACTAATATTTGTAACTTATCCTGCGATACAATAACTGGAACACGTGTTTTAGACTTGGTTGACGCAATTCGTGTATATCGTATGGAAAATATATTAGCTTACCTTGAGAACAAGTGATAGGAATTTGGGTAAAACATATGTTAAAGCCAAAAACAAAAATAAAATACCACAACGCTTTGTGGTCTACTCTATGTATTCAATAATGTTAGGTGAGAAAACTTCTGTTAGTTCCAAATCTGGAACACCGAATATATTGTGTTCCAGGGTGATTCTAGGATGTACGTTGGGTTAGAAAGTTTCCGTTAGCTCCAACATTACAACACCGAATTTATATATAGATTCGTATTATGTTCCCGGGGATATGTAGGTGTCCCTTAGGTTTCACTTAGTTCCAAATTTAGTCTGTTTTATGTTCCGGAACGAATTTGGGGATATTTGTTGGGTTAGACAGTTTCTCTTACTTCCAAATCTAGAACACTAAATTCCACCCTTTGTAAACCAAACTATGTATAGACGGGGTAGATAATGTTGGAATTGAATCACTTATTGCGTACATGAAAGATAAGACACAAACATTAAAGAAGTCCTAATATCCTTTATTTCATCCGCTTATCTTCTGGGAAAGAAACATTTGTTCTGTTTTGTGTAACATAGATTAAAACCTCACATTAAGAACTGCTACTAATCCTAGCCGAGCCAGAGACTTCATAATTTTCAAAATAACAACGCATTTTTTGCTCACAAAAATGGCTAATCAAGAAAAGGGTTGAATTGAAACAATCTCATCTAAATGAAAATAGTACAAAAGACTGAAACTACTTTCCGCACATTAGTGTATCTAAATTTCTTCTCTGCAAACAAATGCAAAGTAATTTGTAATCTTGACTTACTTTGTAGTTAATTGAAATAAATTCCCCATTATAACTGTTTGTCACTGCACTACTCATATTAACTATGATTGGTGCCGTACACGAGACAGGGAATACCTAAGCTTTCTAGAGCACCTGTTACTACTCCTCAATTATTATTATTATTGTCTATAATAGCGACGAGTGTCATGTACATGTATGGGGCATAGTTTTCTTTCTCTTACTTATAACACCCACCACCACTTCTCAATGGGCTTAAACACGCGGTGAATGTTGTACATAGGGCTTGGTATGCTTACTCTCTCTGTAACACTTGTGGCTGACAACTTCTTAATTGGCTATATAAGAGGGGTTGGGTGTCGTACACGAGCCTTGGTATGCTTGCTCTCTCTAGAACACCTGCTACCACTTTATCTATTGAATACGTTAACATAGCTAATAATTTCTTTTGTACTTCAGTCTTATTTGAAAGGTTCAATAAGTCTAAAAGTCTATTATATTACTTTAATAAAATAATTATCATAAAAGCTCACATCTCTTTTCTAGAGATATTTCAAACATGAAAAATGTGAATACATAACTACACCCATGGTATAACTGATATACTACAGTAAATAAGCTAGTTGTTATTATATACCACCTCAATAATTCAAACACCCCTGTCTTTACTGTAACATGATTCCTCGAGATTCACATCTTAACGACACTGTTACCCAAGTTTAAATATAAGTCATTAAAAAAGTTGAATATATTTTTATAAAAAGATACTTTTAAATTCGGAAGTGCAACACAGTACTTTTTGAACAACATGGCTGTTTAGTAGTAACTCTTTGATTTGTTATCCTTATCTTATTTACATGTATTTATATATTTTAGGTGCTCATTATTAGGTTTATTTAGGTAGGGTGTCGGGTGTTCCCGAAATCTTAAGCATATCCTGCCTCGTGCATGACGCCCTTCATTACACATTGCTGCTTAAAATACACAGCTACTTTAGTTCAATACAGTCTGTATTGTTTAATAGTATTTCACTAACAAATGCATGTTGCTATTGTGTAAAGCTAAATAAAGATTTTAATACTGAATATTATTTCTAAAATGACAACCGTTAGTTACTTAGTTATATTCAATCTCTTAAGTTAAATTAGTTACTTAGGTTATGTTAACCCAAGTTACTTATAAGTATTGTTTAATATAAGTAATGTTCGATATAAGCGCATTTGGGTGACTAGAGTATTCACGTCAAACGTACTTTCTCAATATACATTGTAAATAAGTTTCTTCAGTCAAATGCAGTATTTTTAATAAGTTAAATGCAGTTTTCTTTAAGTAACGTGCAGCTTCTTGAAGCAACATGCAGTCTGGTTACATATAATATTGAATTTATCACATATTTTCATAAAAATTTTCCTATTTCCTATTCATACCTCTTTTGCGGACTCCGCATAGGTATAGAAAACTTTGGTTGTACACATCTGATGTATTGGTATCATCTTTTTTAACTCAGACCGAGTTAGGTTGAACTTTCACCTGTCACCTGTACAGAGTAGATACATCTATTTTCTAGTATATTGGCAAGCTAAATCATCCAACACGAACCGTCACTCGAAACCCAAATAATTGACATAAGTAAACACTCGTTTAATTCCGCCGTATTTGCCTATGTGCGTGTATTCTCCCGTGTCAGTATAATTAAGGGCTATGGGGCGTTTTGAAAATTCAAAACTAGCAATTAAAGCCCCGATCATGATTTTGTTTAAAGGAATAGACAGATGATGTCTTTTAAAATATTGGACTATACACATACATATATTTGTATACCGTCGACCATCTTCAAAACTCGAAATTAAAGCGCCGATTTTGATTATGAAGGCTCGGGGGGCGGGGGGCATATTTGTTTCCAAGATGGGTGGGGTCGGGGTGATGGCATTTGGCTTCCATTAATCATTCCATTTTTATTGGAAAGAGCCATGTGACATGGGTGATATAGGCTATGTCGGTTTCCCACTCAGCCCCTTTCTTTACCGAATAAAAATAATATTTATAAATAGGGAAGGGGGCTGGACCTCCTCATTCATAAATATTTATAAAACATTTAATTAAATTTCTGCATCGATAATTATTATTTATGTCTGCCTGGTTTTCGCTTGGTTATAACTGTCCACAATTAATCTCGCCCATCAGTCAGCCATTCTCGCGAACCACACGACCCGATTTTCTAGGTCGAGCGAGTCTGTAGAATTTCTACCAATCTTTTTCTCCTAAATCATATTGTGTCTGAATTGTACATCTGTTCCCTCCATTCAACCTACTCTCGAAAACACGAGAATAGAATGGATTCATTCTGACCCATTTAGGGCAATCCACGTTAAGATAAGTTCGGGAGAAAAAGCAGGGGGATATAATATATATCTTCATATTACACACAACTAAAACTTTGGCTTTTAATGTATCTTAAGTTTTTGTGTTACGATACGAGTGGCGATAGTCATGGCGGCTTATCTCGAGACTGGAATCCATTTACCGGGAGCGCCAGGGGTTGCCTAAACTTCCATCTAGAATGTCATGTTTATAGCGAAGGCATAGACAGAGAATATATGCCAAGTTCGTATTGTTTACAAGGGAACCAGAAGTCAGAAGCCACGGGGTTCGCTTACTGATAGTTTGTAACGTAACCGAAACGAAATATAATGTTTGTTAGAAACTTTTTTTTTATCTCCATTTATGTTTGAAAGCGTTTGTAAGAGAAAGAAAAACGTAATAGTAATCCATTTGTATTCTGCTTTAACAAAGTTTATGATTTAGGTTGATTGGGTATCGATATATTGATAAAGTAGTTGGAATTAATATAAAAATTAATTTTCGAACACTTGATACCACTTCCCGTTTAACGAGTTCAAGTGATTTACATTTTTTTGTTATACTTTGGGATTTAGGAACAGTAGACAATAATGAAGACGGCTATACACACCGCCATTGAAATTTAATAAATCATAATTATTTTTCTAAGACTTGATACCACTTTAATTTACAAATTTGCCTTGTACTTTCGGATTTGGGAATCATAGACAGTATTGGACTGGGATGATGAATCGGGTCTACAGTCGAATTTAAACTGTCATCTAAAATCCTACCCGTGACGAGTATGAACGAGAACAAGCTTATAAAACACATACTGGTGACCCGACCACAACTAACAAAATATGTCGATTCGTTCTTTCAAAGTACATGTGCGATAAGGATTAATTCACCGCTTTCTCCTGTGTAAATAATTCAAGATACGATGACAGACCTGTGTGTAGAGGGCTTTTACCTGACAGTCACCACACTAAGACTCCAACAAGTAGAGTTAAAAAGTTAACTGCATGCCGCCTCGTTACAGTAGCCCGGTTATATCAATTAGTTTCGTATCCCAGCAAGAAAACAATGTCAGCGTGTAAAGGTTTCGTATAAAGAAACGCCTGATATCTGCTTAGGAGATATCCTTGTTTTGGATTTTCCCTCTAATACTGAAAGCTGACAGCTCTGTTTTGAG